ACGTCGCGACGCGTACCCCCCCGCTGCTCTTCATACCGCGGCCGCGAACGCGCCGGACCTATACGTAACACGCATGCGCGATCTCCTGTCGCGCACGCCCCCACGTGGTCTTTCCTCACGAGCTTGCGCAGCTCGATTATCGACGCGACAGTTGGTCGGTATTGCATGCACTTATATCTAGCCCTTTCGTCCTACCTCTGTCCTCCTTTTTCCTATTCTTTTCCAATTTTGTCTATCTCTTCATGCGGGATAATGAAACATACAGATTTTTTCGAGTTACTATTTCTGTTCGTGCCGCGTTTTTTTTTTTATTTCTCACGGGAATGAATGAACGAGGTTTTCCTTATCGCGAATCATAACTCACATCAACATTTCGTTCTGTGACAGTTAATTCCATACAACAGTTTTCCAATTTTTCTCTTTAGTATAAAATAGAAACAAAGAATCGCGGTTATTTTCAAAGATCCATTCATATACTCGTCGGATTCAAGAAATTTGTTTATGAAAATATAAAAGAAATCGGTTGAACTCGAAGGATGTAGCAAGGTTAACGACGAAGATAGTTTATTTTCTGCTTCTTAGTAAAATCGGATTTTTATTTTGATATTTAGACTAATTTATATACAAACATATAACGCGATCCACACCTTACTATATGTATCGATCTTGTCATATATTGATCCTACATGGTTGGTAGAAAGTTGCAGGTACATACTTACCTACTTTTAAACGATTCTATAGTTACAATTAAAGCGCCCGTGTAATTATTTGATTTATTGGAACAGAAGTACATTTACGAGTTCAAAGCGTTCAAAGTTTGTCTCTTGGAAATCAGATAACTGTAGTTTTATTGCAACTTTCGGAGTTGGCTGTGGATGCTCAGTGAAATTTAGAATAGCATGTATTCCAATTATGTACCAATTATTTGCGTTAAATAAGCTTAACTCTAATATTTTCAATGAAATCTTCAATTTAAGAAAAACTACTTACTTTGCGTTTAATCAAAAAAAATCAATTAATTTCGAGATGTAAGTCCATAAAGTAAATAAACGTCGTGTCTATTCTATTAAAAACTACTTGTATAATTATTTTAATTAATCAGAAAATACTTGTGCTCCCGATTACGTTTTACTATTCAACCGTGTGCATAATCGGTTTTGTATTATTCCGTATGTTATTCCGCACAATTGCTTTTATTTTGTAGCTGTATAAGGCAGATCGATATTCGACAGTTCTCAAACTAGTCACGAACACGTTCTAAAGATATATTCTGTTGTTTGATAGCAACGCAATTGTAAAATAGAATCTTTTAATTCCCATTAATCTAAAAGATTAGTTACATAAACAAAAATTCCTTTGTTATTAACAAATTTCAACTTGAGCTTATCGAATGGAGAAGAAAATCCTGATAGTCACGCGCTCAATTCATACGAATAAATTTCTGTGAATCTCGCAACTGTTTTATCACTTGTTTCGCGACTGTACTCATTTCATTTTTGTTCGAAATAGCGATATCTTCTATTTTGCTGATCGGTAGGGTGGTGATTAAGTCTTGAATGTATTTGGGATTCGTTAAACCATATGTCATCGAATGCAACACACGCAGACAGAGGAACTGTGTCTCATCTGGTAGCGAATTGTTCCTCAAATAACAATTTAACACGTCGCTTACTCGTGACTCGAAAAGATACTGCAGCCCGGTTTTATTCATACTGACATTATAAAATGTCATCAGCATTAATCTATAAGAGACACGGCATGATTAAAAGTACAAATGAATTGTTAATTTGCCGGTATTCGCAAAATTACCTCTTTAGTGATAAGGAACCTTGCGAAAGTGGCAAAGTGGGCATGAGTTTCATCATTTTTTGTACAAAAGCTCTACCATTCGGATCAGTCATTAAAAATTCACGTCCTTCGGGTGTTGCAGATATATTTGATACAATGCCTAACAAGCCAATTATAAACTGATATTCGACGTTGCATGTGGGAGGGAAAGCATTTCGATAAGTGTTTATAAAAGCGACGAAACTTCCGTCTGTTATCGATAAAAATTCGCCGATCATGTGCTGAAACTATAATGAACCAATTAACGCGAAACTGTACTGTCCGTTGAATACCGGAATTAACAATATTTACCCCAGAAAGCCAAACGTCGACAATTTCTGGGAGGCGAGATGCACGCCATGTTAAATTGCCTAAAACTGCTCCCAAAGTTGCACAGTATGTACTTTGATTCAATATCTAGAGAGAGAGAGAGAGAGAGAGACAGACAGAAAGAGAGAGAGAGAGAGAGAGAGAGAGATAATAAACATATCTATTAACATAATGAATGCTAATGAATGTTTTATAAATTAAATTATAGCCGAATCACTTGTTCTCTTAAGTATTCTATTTCTTCCTGTGCCTTTCTGTTTCTGTCCACTTGCTGTTGGAGCTGACTGTGCAATTGTTCACACTTTAGTTCTATGGCTGAAATTTTCTCTTTCTCTTCTATGAACAACGAAATCATTAAAAAGTGAGACGTTATTGTTTTCTTTTGAATAAAAAACAAACAGTATATGTACCCTTATTTATTTGATCAGTGAATGATTTTGGAAATGAAGAAATAAGATCCTGAATATTTTGACCATCTTCTATATTTAGTTTCTTTAAATCTATATCTAATCCAGAATTAACAAGAGCTTGAGGGACGTCTGTTACAAACTTATGAATGCTTCTTTTGACGGTCTTTAGAGTATCCTCCACAGAAATCTGAAAAATTTTAATATGCTTATATTACGTGGATGCACAGTTCCTTTAGTATCAATTCCTTTTAACAGGCTTTCATATTCTAAAAATCTCAACATAGATATAAAAGGACCCATGTTAATCGCTATTTAAACATCAAAGAAATATGAAACCAATGTGAATTTACCAAAAATTGTTTTTCATCTCCTAAATTTGTTTGTCTTTCTTCATCATCCTTGTCCATGATTGTTTAACTGAATTTTGTGTTGATGCAAGTAATTCTCATGTATGTTTAACGGAATGATATCAATGAAAATACTTTCAGCATGTTGACAACTGGCGTAACCTGCATGAAACATAAATCGTTACAGAAAGTGGGAAAATTCAAACATCAGCGCGGTACAATTTAAAACATATAATAAGTTCAGATATAGTTAACGCGTATATGTATTTTATAACAGATGATTTTTCCGTTACTTATAAATTATTTTCGATTGTAATGCCTCTTTCTCACAAACGATAAAAAAGATTAAAACTTTATTTCTTTGATTATAATTTCTTCAAATAAAAAAGGGATAAAAAATGTAATATTACATATTACTAATTTCAGTCAACATCTAGCCAAAATAAGTTTTGTACATGAGCGTACTCAAGAAAGCGATATATTTGATGAAAAAGATTATATTGCTAATAAAATAAAAGTGAAGATTCTGTTTTTTAAAGTTCTGCAATTGATATTTGAATTTAATTTAAAGACATCTCTGTTTTAGAATAGAAATCGAGTTTGAGTTTGAATTTTATTTTTCGTTCGATATATTAGTGTTATATTAATATTGCTTCTCGTATGAAATACGCTTAAACCTTATCTTCATTGTAAGGGCATCATAAGGTAACTGACGCAACGGATATAAGCATATATTTAGCCTCGCGTGGCCTGCATTTTATGCATCTCGGAACGCTATAGCGTGTGTGCGTCTTCGTGTTATGATGCAAAAAAAAAGCGTTAATTATAACCTTACGATTAGGAGTTCTCTTATTTTTAATCTAACTCGAATCTCATTAGTACATATTGCTGTAATCTGAGTAAAACTGCATGTAAGTTGTAAAACTGTACTGATTAACATCTTTATATATTAGAACTTAATTCATGAATTGTTATTATACGACAGTTTTTGATCGCAAAAACTGCGAACAAAATTTCATTTACTGTGTAATATGAACAATAGTACAATGTTTGCATCTTTTCCTTTTTTGTAGAAACAGTTATGCTATATAAAATTAAAAGTTAAACAACATATTTAATGCGTTTAACTATTATATAACGTAACGATGTTTTATAGATCATTGTTAATTTTTAGATACAATATGAAGTTTTCAGAAGGAGAAGAAGTACTTGTAAAACATCCAAGTACTGATAGATACCACAAAGGTAAAATATTAAGTATGAGAGGTGAACGGTATAAAGTACAATTTGAAACAGGCATTGAACAGTATGTTCATTCAACTGATATTAAGGTACCTGTTTTGTTAAATTTAAGCTATTTTATATATTTTAAATATTTAAATTTTCTCTACCTCTTTTTCTCTTTTACTACTTTTTTTTCTTTCTGTATAATTTCTTCAAAATTTTAGATGAATAGGCCATCAAGAAGTACAACTAGAGCTAGTAGTAAAAGTAGAAAAAGTCCCACTAGATATTCATCACTCAGAAAATCTCCACGCAGACGTTCACCCGGAAGATCTCCATCTATAAATAGACAATCTACAAGGACTCAAAAATTTGCAAAAATTTCTCTACCACGAATAGAAATACCTAGGGGTAAATATATTGTTACAAATAATCTGCTATTTTTTAACAATATTATTAAATGAATTGACATTTTCCTGCATAAAATGTATAGATATGCAGGATAATGGCAATACTGACAGTAAAAAGAATATAAATGATGACGAACATTCTATTGAATCAATGCCTCTTCAATCGCGATTGAAAGAACTAGGAACAGTGACGCGTAGATCAATGAGATTGTTATCTGGTACGCTAAAACCTGAATCAGATCATAAAATGGTTTTATTAACGAGAAATATTAATCGAGCTGTCTCACTTCCCATAGAAAGGAAGAGTCAAATGCATGATTTTAGTGTTGATGTGAAGGAAAGGGGGCATTCAGTACAAAGAGATCAAGTAAGATTTTTGTGTATTGATTATTGTATATTATGATAAATATTCTATATACATTTATTAATGTTTGACTTTAGGATCTATTAAAAACTATAAATTATGAAAAAGATGTAGATATAAATCCACAAGTAATAGAAAAACGAAAGAAAGAAATCAGCATGGTTAGTGAGCCACAAGAATGGGGAGGATGGTTTGGAACCCTTCTTCTTATAGTTTTATCACCCGTGATAATGATATTACCGCAATTAATGTGTATAAAAGATGAATGTATACTTGGATATCCTAAGATACTAACAGACGTAACGTTATACGTAGATCTTAGAATTTTTACTGCATATTTAGGTCTCTTTTTATTTGTAATAATTTTTTCGACTATACCGATTGGACGAAAAATTGATGGACCACAAAATAGAGTTGGAAGATTACAGTATCGTCTAAATGGTGGCTATTCAATATTTAAATTACTCATTTTAAAGAAAAATTATATGAATGAAATAATTATTTTGCATTCTTCTTTTAGGTTTTTTATGCAGCCTTTTATCAGTAATCATATTTGCTGCGTGTATATATAAAGAACTAGAAGTCACTGATCTCGTTATACAAAATTCTGTACAATTTTCAATTAGCGGTTGGATTCTTGGAACAATTTTATCATTATTATTATTTGTAAAGGGTGGCAAAGCTCCTGTAGCTAATCTAAACATACATGGATCTACTAACAGTATGATATATAATTTTTGGCAAGGGAGGGAAATAAATCCACGAATTGGTCCTGTGGATATCAAAATAAATCTTTTTCGGACTTCCATGATAACAATAGTAATAATCATTCAAAGAGTTTCCTCATCTGTAGAAATGTATATTATAAGATATGCATGATTTTATTCGAATTACAGATTCTCATAAATTTGTCCATTGTGATAAAAACAATTGAAGAAACGGAAACATATAGTTTAGAACATCTTAACATAGGTGTTATGTTAGGAACTTTACTGCAAATAATTTATGCGATGGACGCACTATTCTTTGAATCTGCAATACTAACAACTTTTGAAATAATGTATGAAGGAACTGGTTACATGTTATGTACCGGTTATATGATGTACCCATTTTTATTGGCTTTTACAACAAAGTACATGTTATATCACAAGTAAGTACTAAGAATAAAAAATAACAGTACATCATGTCACTGAAATTTTATTGAAACATGTTTCTTCAATTTTAGAACACAATTCACTTATCTGTTTGTCTTTCCTATACTTGCATTTATAATTGGATATTTGCTATATAGAATAAGCAATTTACAAAAGAATAAGTTCAGAAGAAATCCTTTATCTCCATCATTAATGCGTAAATACAAAATCATCTTACATTTAAATCAATATCAACATTACAAAATTAATTTTTCATATTATTTGTACATTTATTTTGTAGACTTAGAAACCATACCAACCACCCGTGGTAAGAAGCTTATAGTATCTGGATTATGGGGTCATGTAAGACATCCGAATTATTTAGGTGATATAATAATGTGGTGGTCGATATCGTGTATAAGTTTGGCGGATAATATTTTGCCTTATTATTATGCAATTATATGTACAGGATTGTTGATATATAGAGCAAGAAGAGATAATGAACGTTGTAAAATGCGTTATGGTTTAGCTTGGGAACAATACACGTCACGTGTTAAGTACATGATTTTATATCGTATATTTTAGAATATAATATGTAGAGAATATTAGCAAAGCTACCTTTAGATACCAAAATATGTTATAAAATTGTACCTTTAAAAACTGCAATGCTCATTATTTTATAGAATATTTTAGTCGTATTAGAATCGTTATGTAGAGTTCATATACTCACACAACACACACGTGAAACAACAAATAGGGTTGAAATCTGTGGAATATAAAACCAAAAGAAATGATTGTATAACATTAAGCACTAAATTTAAGCACGTCATTTCTTTAATTCTTTAAAGCAATGAACAAAGTGTGATTATCAAAACAGTACATTTTAGACATAATTAAGAGACATTGTTGATATAAATAGATGTAATATAAAGTATATTTCTATTATAAAGACAATTATATGATGTAAAGACAAAACATGATATAATGAACAAATTGAAGTAAGAATTTTTATACTTTTTATACAGAAATGTACAATTGACAAATAAATAATTTTCTAATAGCTGCGTTAAAATTATATAAGGAATATTTGTTTTTAATTGCATCCAAAATTTAATGTTCTGAAATGCAATCGACTGTATAATTTTTTCCAAGGTTGCCTAGTGTGGCTGTGACCTGTGACACAGCAATAAAAATATTCTCTTACAAACAGATGTTTAACAGTGGTTTCTATTAACTTTGTTGATAAAATGGCAAGTTTTTTTGGTGAAGTAGTATTTCCAGTCTCACGAGCGTTTTGGGACGATGAAGAGGAAAATAAAGCTACTGATTGTTCAGTTAATCAACCGTAAGTTTTATTTTAGTTAAACATAACCTCTCAAGTTAAGTGTTTCAAAAGTGTCTCAAATACTTTTTGGAATATATTTCAGCGAATTTTTTGTTCATTGGTTAAAGACAAAACCATCCAGCATTGATACTTTAATTGTAATCGAAGGTGAAATGTTAATCGGTAATATATACTAATTTAATTAATCGGTAATATTTTGATCGTATTATAAGTAGTTTTAATGATATTGTAGATTTTGTAAAAGAGTGTTTGTGCCCAAACTCAGAAGAAGTATGTTTCGTGGAAGATGAAAAACAAAAAAAGATATATACAACTTATCAAGTTACTAATGATATTTATTTAGGTATTGTATCTCCACATTTTGATGTGAAATTGTCAGGCAAATTTGTCGAAGAGGTAAGAAAATTTAACTTAAATTATAAAGTATATAATTCTAGTAATTTGCATTAATTTTATTAAATTTATTAGATGGGTGATATTATATCAAGTGTAAAAAGTATAATTTGTATAACATGTTGTCATATATCAAATTTCAAGAAGAAGGATATACCAACAGTACCTTCTTTCTTAAGGATGTTGACTACAAAAAGTGGGGAGAATATTTGCAAATCGAAAGAGCCATACTTAGAGCAGCCAAATATTATATATGGAGTAACAGCAGGAGGTTAATATTCAAATAATACAAACTATATCTTCAGGTGAAAGTTTATTAATAAACATACATATGTTTCAGTATTGTCATATGCTCAAATTATGGAACTACCTGCAGTTTTGTATGTTTTATATACAGACAGTATTGTATTGGACTCATTATCTGCAGAACCGCTTTTAAAATTATTAGCAAATTATGCACCATTGCATACTGTTACATTTTCTGGAAAAAACTTTTTTAATAAAGGCAACCTTTACATGTAAAATTTTGACTGATTTTCCCTTAGAAGTTTTGTATTTATATTTTCTTATTTAAATTAAGAATTGAAACACGTAAATATTAATAATATAAAAACTTTATAATTAAATATTACTGTTAATTGTAAACCTTACATATTTACAATATTTACAAGACTTAGCTTACAAGATAAGATTTAACTATTATCTCTGATAATATTAACTTCAATTGCCATAATAGCGTTTATACACAAGCAAACATTACATATATGATCTTATAAATTTGTATGTGTTAAGGTTGTGGTGGATAATACGTACGCGGTGTAGGTGCTGGAGGTACTGGATTATTTGGAGGGAAGTATGACGCGTTTGTAGGATAAGGATATGGTTGAAACGGTGTTGGTGTTGTAGTAGATGTAGGTGGTGCAGGTCTAATGGTACCGGAGGAACCCATATGATGCATTGGTGGGACAATGTGATTCATTGTATTTACAGAAGGTGGAGGTACGGAAACATTTGCTGGAGGAAACGCTGGAGGATAATTGATATTACTATGTGCAAAATTGGTTGGATATGTTTGAAAATGCGTTGGCACATCCATTGGTTTTATTGCATCTGTGGTATCTGTAGTTAAGCATCCATTTGCAGAGACTGCAACTGCTTCAACTTTAGTAGCCTTTCCTGGTGTAACTATAATTTGATATTAATAAGACAATTTTTTATCATAAATAAGACAATTTTTCATCACAAATAAGACAATTTTCATGTATATACCATTTGGTGTAGTAGATGTTGATTCTGTGGAAGGTGCTGTTATAGCTCTATCTCTACAAGGCTCATTAGATGGTGTTAAAGGTGGTGAATCTGGCGGCTTTGTGTTATTTGCTTGTGAATACAAATCTAATACTTGATGACATATATCTGAAAAAATAAATCAGATGTACTTACTTTCCATATTGATATATTCTAAAAAATGGTTTCTTATTAGGTTACCTTCTAGAAGATCCATAGTAACGTCCTCAACAAACATATCCCACCAACGTAAATGTTTTGGTAATCTTCCATTCCAATCTACCACTTCAAATTTGCTAAGCTTCCCTGCCAAATACATGAGAGCAACAGCAATAATTTCTGGTTCCCACTGCAATGACAATGTTGTACACAAACTATAAAGGAAAAGGAATAAAGATTATATAAACTTTTTAAATCGATTTAAAAGTAATAAGAATACACTATTATATATATATAACGATACCTGTCGTTAACAAATGTCCAAGCCATTTGAACCATCTTTTGCAATTTATTTTTATCACCTGCAAAATATCATTGATGCTTTTATTATGCTGCTTAATATATTATTTATTAAATTCATAAAATTTATTTTAATACCTTTAAGGCATTTTGCATATTTTAGCAAGTAGCTGTATGGATGTTCAACTTGCAAATCAAACTTTATAGTTTGTAGTAAAATTCTTTCTAACGTTATGACCTCCTCCTAGAAAATTTATAAAAAGATTATTTTACAAATTACATTTCAAGGATATATATCCTTAATAATAATAACTATATAGTTTACTGATTTACCTTTGGATCTTCTCCAAAGGTCATCAATTTCTGTTCAGTTAATAAAGACTTTGCAGTCTTAATTATATCTTTGCATTTTTTTGGAGTTTCTTCTACTTTGCCTGCTAATAATAAACAACAGCACGCAGTTACCTATACGAGATTTAAAAAATAACAAAACATTTATTTATTTTTCTCAAATCGATAAAAAAGAAATTAATATTTATTATTAGATACTTACATATCTTGGGAAGTTTTTAAATGAATGAAACATATAGAATCTATGAAAATAAACAACTCCAGTTGCCATTGTATTGTATCCTAAATCCATTTTGGTTCCTGTGTCTATAATAAATCTGGCCCCTTCTTTCCTATATCTGCATTCTGTTTCATAGTCAATTCCATCTTGAATGGATGGTGTATTTCGTAGTTCTTTCTTCTCATAATACCAGCATGGCATTTTTATTGCACTTAAAAAGAATAACATACATAAGAAAACTTTATATAAATAATAACACTTCACTAAGGTTATATCATATTAGAATAAATCTTTTCTATACTGAATATAAGTTTACATAAATGATAATTTAGTAATTATTGTTACACAAAGAAATTTCTAAAAATTTTACTATTCCATAAACTTTACAGTAGGTTAGGGTACTTACCGATGTTTAATGTTTAAGGTGTTCTCTTTCTTTCACTTGCTTAGATGTTTTTTATTATATGCAATATTGCGTTATATATTATATTATATATACTATCTATATTAACCCGTTTGAATTGTCTATAATAAACAAGAGAGCTCTACACCTCCACGTAATACGAAGTACGTAAGAAATGAACAATATGAAACCATTTTGCGTGAAGTTGCGCATGCCTGGCTGTATCACTTGCTAAGTGGTAGCGCATGCACTATACTACTATAGGGACTATGAAGAATTATTTTAAAATTTAAAATTAATAATAACAGAAATATTATTCGTTTCGTTTTATGTGTGAAATCATTTTATTCTCACAAATAGTTATTCAATTACTAATACTTATTCTTAACGAGTCTTTACTATACTATACTATACTTATGTATTTTGTGTATGGGTGTGTCTGTGTGTGAATATATATATCTTAACTTAGGCTTATTTGTACTGAAAAATCTCTAGAATTATATTATATTGTATTACATACTTTGGACTAAGGGTGACCCTTTACTCTGAAAAAGGGAGTGCCGCTCTTTTCCGGAAGTATGGAAGTTTGAATTTTCTTCTCTTCCCGCCCAGAGTTCTTTTAGCGGAAGTGAACTTTTTTAGCTCGCAGTTCGACATCTGTATCTAGAAGAGAGAAATATATATTTTATATAAAATTGCATCACTTGTTAGGCGCCAGGGATGTTTCATGTGAATGTGTCTTACAATATATAGAATGAATGCTTTATACATCGATTTTATTTCATTAAAAAATGAAGTACAATTTTTAGTAAAAGAATTTAAATTTAGTTATAAAACAATTGTATTTTTTTTCTTCCTTCATGTTTGTTTGAATATACTGTTATCGCATTATATATTATCTATATCTTACAAATACATTTCCCAATCTATTTTGCTTTGTTTGTTGACAAATCAATAAAGTACATATAAAGGTGACTTCTTAGACCAACAATACAGAAGCGTAAAAAGGACAGTCGTTATACAAAACATTGAAACATCGGTTTCTAGTACATATTAGCGGTTTAACGCGTTATCTGTGGTCAATAAGTACCAGAGTATATGTCATAGATGCGTCTATCAATTTACCGCGAATACCCTTAACGTATTACATTTTGAGGGTGATCTACGTCGCGCTCTTGTAACATAACTAAACGTTAATTTATGACGACCGCGCACGCAAGAATATTTTACAAACATAACATCTACAATTTCACAGATAATAACACAACGTCGAATATAATGCCGTTGGCGAATTTGACAGTTCCTTGGTCTGAGCAACATGTGACTGAAAAGGTAGTATTTTTATATTTGTTAAATACATCGATTAGTGTTAAAAATGAGTCAATTACGTGTTATTAATTCTGTATTACAATTGTAAATTTGTGCATTGTAACCAATTTAATTTTTCAGCAAGATGTAGATATACTTCCATCAGAATCCCAAGAGGAAGTAGTAATAACTCAAGAAAATGTAGTTGAACCACCTTCAAATGGTTGTTCTGAAACACATGAAATAGAAGTACGAGAGATAGTAAGGGATGGACATGAAAAAGCAGATCCATCTCAATTTGAACTGCTTAAAGTTCTGGGTCAAGGGTCTTTTGGCAAAGTATTGAACATTATAATGAATGAAAAATAATTTGAGATATAATCAAGTGTAATTATTCAATAATAAAAATTCTTGTGTTAATCCAGGTATTCCTTGTGAGAAAGGTAGTTGGAAAAGATAGTGGGACAATTTATGCTATGAAGGTATTAAAAAAGGCAACATTGAAAGGTGCTTAATAAGTTAAATATATACAAGTACGAGGGTAGCTCTGAAGGTTTTAAAAAATGAGGACTGTTGTAACAAAACATTGATTTTAATTATGAAATACAAAGATCTTTTTAGTGCTGTGTACATATTTTATTTTTTTTATTAAAATTTATAAAAGGAATTTTCAGAGCAATTCCTCTTATATTGAAAATTATTTCTTTTTCTTTTTAAAGTGGTTTAATATATCAATATTATCTCAGTTCGGGACAGAGTTAGAACAAAAATGGAGAGGAATATACTGGTAGATGTTGAACATCCATTCATTGTGCGACTACATTATGCATTCCAAACAGAAGGCAAACTCTACTTAATTTTAGACTTTTTAAGAGGTGGCGATTTATTTTCAAGATTAGTTAAAGAGGTATACAGTTTACAGTATTAGTAATTTTATGATATTTTTATGGCTGTATTGATCCACTTTTATAATTATTGCTCTAGGTAATGTTTACTGAAGATGATGTAAAATTTTATTTAGCTGAACTTGCTCTTGCATTGGGTCACATACATAAGCTTGGAATTATTTATAGAGATCTCAAACCAGAAAAGTTTGTATTATATCATTTGTCAATAATTCAACCATTATAAAGCTATATAAATCTTAATATTCATTTTGTTTATGACAGTATTTTGCTTGATACTGAAGGTCATATTGCTTTAACCGACTTTGGTCTAAGTAAGCAGCCTTTAGACGATTGTAAAGCATACTCGTTTTGTGGTACTATAGAATATATGGCACCTGAAATTGTGGATAGGAGAGGACATTCATTTGCTGCAGATTGGTGGAGTTTTGGTGTTCTTATGGTTACTTGCATATAAATGATATGACGACACATATACATATATACATCAGATTGTATTTAAACAAATTCTTAACTTTCAGTTTGAAATGTTGACTGGAGCTCTTCCATTTCAAGGAGCAAATCGCAAAGAAACAATGACACAGATAACAAAAGGAAAACTCGGAATGCCACATAATATTTCACCAGAAGCACAATTACTCCTTAAAGTATTGTTTAAAAGAAACCCTGCAAACAGACTGGGATTTGGTACTCATTTGTAGTGTTCTTTAAAATACAAAAATAGCTATTATGCTATATTCATTTATTATCTTCATTTATTTAAGGCGGAATAGAAGAGATAAAAAACCATGTGTTCTTTGCAAAAACCGATTGGGATGCGCTTTACAGAAAAGAAATAAAACCGCCTTTTAAACCAGCTGTTAGTCAAGAAGATGATACATTTTGTTTTGATAGTGAATTTACATGTAAAACGCCTAAAGGTAACGTGAATTACTTAATTCTGTATAATTTATGTTCTAAATGAGTAAAGTTATTATAATATCTTAGATTCTCCTGGGGTACCACCAAGTGCTAATGCTCACGAATTGTTCCGTGGATTTAGCTTTGTCGCGCCGTGCCTTCTTGAGGATCACGTGAAAATCCCTGAATATAAAAACTGTGATAGCCTTAGCGCAACTTTCCCAACTTATGTGAGCCCTATCTCCGTGAATGATGAATATGAGCTTAAACAAGAAATTGGTAAAGGAAGCTACAGTACTGTTTATTTAGCTGTTCATAAAGCTTCTAAAGCAGAGTATGCTGTGAAGGTAATTGAGAAATCAAAAAGAGATCCTACAGAAGAAATAGAAATTTTGCTCCGATATGGAAGGCACCCGCACATTGTAACTTTGAGAGCTGTTCATGAAGATGATAAACGAGCTTATCTTGTACTCGAATTATTGCGTGGTGGAGAACTACTTGATCGGTTACTACAAAGACGTAATCTCACAGAAAAAGAAGCAGCTGAAGTGATGTACACAATAGTTAGCGTAGTCAATTATCTTCATGAAAATGGAGTAATTATCTATTTAGTCATCATCTCTTACGTTTTGTATTCTACCATGTTGAATTTATTGATTAATTTCGGTTTACGTAATCAATAGGTTGTTCATAGAGACTTAAAGCCATCTAATATATTGTATTCGAAGTCGGGGGGTGATCCATCGACACTTTGTTTATGCGATCTTGGCTTCGCAAAACAGTTACGAGCGGAAAATGGTTTGTTAATGACGCCTTGTTATACTGCAAATTTTGTAGCACCGGAAGTGTTAAAACGCCAAGGATATGATGCGGCGTGTGATATCTGGTCACTTGGTGTTTTGTTATACATTATGTTGGCTGGGTAATTAAATCTGATTACATAAAATTTGAAAAATATGTATATTAAATACTAGATTACATTTCTATATTTTAGATATACACCATTTCGTAATACTCCCGGTGATAGTGCAAGAGACATATTAGATCGTATTGGTCTCGGCTACATTGACGTTGAAAGTGGAATATGGCATCAAATTTCGAATGAAGCTAAAGATCTAGTTAAAAAAATGTTACACGTTGATCCTAATCGGAGGCCTACTGCAGCTGCCATACTAAAATATTCGTGGATTGCTAATCGTCATCGTCTTCCACAGAAAGTATTACCTGATAGTTCTAAGGATCCACATAGCCTAAAGGTATATAATATTTTCTTCAGAAACATTTCAAGTAATCATGACTAAATTAATAGCATAAATTGAACATATCTTTAGAGAGCAGTAACGGCAACATATAGAGCGATGTCTAGCAGTCCAAGGTCGCCTCATATCGGACCTGTTGTCATGTCTGCATTGGCACGACGAAGAACACAAGCCAAGCCTACTGGTCCTACCGAAGTTTGAAACAACTGTGTTTCTATTTTGTCAAAAAGTAAAGGCAAGATACGAAAAATTACGAATTATGTATGTGATTACGTATATGAAAAGACTATATTTTTTGTCGACATAAATCTAGTATTATTTGTGCAATGTTCAAATGTAGCTAGTATGTATCAATTTTATAAAAATTATTCTTTATTGTTCTGTTATTCATATAACTTGCATCATTAAAATCATCTCTATCCTTGTTAAAATTTGTGTATGTGTATAGAATAGAAAATGTGTGTTTAAATCCATATTTTCGATTTAAATATAATATAAGAATGAAATATCAGAGAAATTTTAAATCTTATAATCTGTATTGTACATGACTATCATTTCAATATTAAAAATAATATAAACTATAATAATAATATAAATTTATGAAAAAATCTATATATATATATTTAATAAAATGTAAAAATGAAGTATATATCTATTTTAATTTTTGATCAATATTTTTATTTGTTAAACATTAATTGTATATAATAAAGTATGTTTTACTTAACCATAATTAAAATGATTAAGTAGTTGATTTTTAAGTTCCACATTCTATTTTTAATCGGAATATACTCGGATAAATACTTACGTAACTAATATTCAACAATGATAATCTTATTTCTTAGAAAATTATGGCAAGTATACAAATAAGTATGATTTATAATAAATATTCAAACGCAAATATAATTCGTGTTTATTATCAAAATAAGAGGTATTATTATATACGAAAAGTTCATTTTCAAATGCAATAATTTTTAGATGCATTATATATTATTTTAGATGCATTAGTAAAATAAACAAACCATTTTTTTAATTATTCCCCTCATTTCATAGTAAGATTAATTGCGTATCTTGTTAAATAAAAAGATAAAAACAGAATTTGTACGTTTTAAATCGTGTGAAAAATTATTTGTATAACATATAAAGAAGTAAATTCATAAGTATATAATAAAGAAAAAAAATATTGCATATTTCTCTTATCACAGATATATATATATCTTGAAAATGTGTATAGTTTATACGAATCACGTATTGTATACTATGTGCATACATACGTATAAGATGTTCTTAATTCACAATGCGGCGGTGTACGCGCAGACGCCCATTATTAAACGAAAACGTGGTAGCTGTTTGTTCCGACTGCGGACTTTCGTGCTTTACTTTGCTAAGAGCTGTTATCATATTTTTTAATAGTTCTTACTACTATATGTTCTTTAAAATTTCTATATCTATAAAGGTGAGACAATATTCAATATTCGTCGAATTTCTTATTTGTTCATTGAAATAAAGAAGAATACACGAGAGACAGTGATTGTGATACCCTTAACGAAGTCAGTTTTATGCATTGATCTCACTTTTTATTCAACATGATTAATGAAAATTGAAGATGTACATATATTAATTGCAGTAAATAAGATTCTGAAAAAATTTTTAGATGAAAGCATTTAAATATTGTAGCTTTTATTTTTCAGTGCATCCGATCAACTTTTCCTATTAAGTAAGTTGCACAATTACGACACATTTTCCTTCAAGAAATCAATATTCCGAAGATACCACACGTTAATTATCGTTCCATGGTTTGTAAGAATCTCAATATATTGCAAAAATAATAATATGACAGTGATTACCTATAATGATTTTTCGTTTTATTTTACACGCTTATTTCTGTTCTACTTGTACTATTAATTAATAATGTTTTCGGTGTTTTTGGTCTACCGTATCTTTCATCGATTTGTATTAAATTCATCGTAAATACAACAGTAGATATGCCTGCACTTACACGTTCTCCTCAATTGTGTGAAAATTAATTGAATTATAAATACGTAAGAGTATGGCATCACTTTCATGTTTTAGAACATTAGCATTAGGTATGAAGTGATTGAATCTATTCAAATTAAAAACTCAAGTTTTGAGATCATCTTTCATTGTGAATTTTTATTGTGATAAATTGTTCCGTAACAATATTACATTCATTTTTAGGTGCTTGTAATATGTTTCATAAAGGCTCACGTCCATTAGTTTTGTGTGGTCCTTCAGGAAGTGGGAAAAGTACGCTTTTAAAAAAGCTTTTTGAAGAATTTCCAGATACATTTGGTTATTCTGTGTCTCATACCACTAGAAGTCCTAGACCAGGCGAGGAAAATGGGAAACATTATCATTTTACTACTAAAGATAAGATGCAAAAACAAATAGAACAGGATGAATTTCTTGAAACTGCTACATTCAGTGGAAATATGTATGGTACTAGGTAAAAATCAAATTTATTTAAATAAAAGATGCAATAATAGATTTTATTGATTATACACAAATCTTTTTCAATATTTTTAGTAAACGTGCAGTAGAAGAAGTACAAAAAGCAGGTAAAATTTGCGTATTAGATGTTGAAGTGCAAGGTGTAAAACAAATAAAACAAAGTTCTTTGGATCCATTGTATATATTTATTAAAGCACCATCTATCGAAGAATTGGAGAAAAGATTAAGAGCTAGGAAAACAGAAACAGAAGATGCTTTGCAACGGAGATTATCCATTGCTAGGCTAGAGATAGAATATGGTAAGTATTATAATTAATTTATTGCTTTGTTAAAAACTGGGATACGTTTACTATGTTTTTTTATGTTAGACGAGGAAATATATATATATACTTCAGAATTATTTTAGGAGAAAAGCCTGGTAATTTTGACATAGTGATTGAAAATGACAATGTTTCTAAGGCATATGAAAAACTAAGAGACTTTTTGATGTCAAATCTAAAGCAAGGTGATGCAGGTATAATAAACAGTGCTTATGTATTATATGTTAATTATTATCCATATAATTGTTATGTATATTTATATTTGTGTTTCTAATACTTTACAGGACGTTAAACATATGCCTCTTAAAGATACATTATTCTTTAAAATCATAAATCATAAATTATAATTATTTTTATATATCATTGTGTAAATTATAATAATAGATAATTATTACACGATGAAGTGCATGATTAACTTATGTCCAAGGATCGGATTACTAGATCAAAGAATAAATTTATGCAAATAATTTTATACAATGCTAAATAAATCTTAATATTGCAAGAGTAAATATAGGTATACATGCTTCAAGCTTGTTACATGCATGGTACTAATGTAAAAATTCAGATTAATGTCACTTTAAAGGCATTGTAAAGCAAGGATTACAAATGTATAGTTTAAAGTAAAACTATGAATAAGGAAACAAGGATATGCAGAATGTTCATACAATTTGTTTCTATCCAATACTTAAAGAGACTAAGTATATGTCAAGTAACAGAGACTCGTTAAGTTATTTTTGTAGTTTCTTTTACAGTTCTGTATATACTTTTGCTTCGACTCGAATAGGAAAAACATTGTACAGTATTTACATAATAGTAACTTATAGGATTACATCGATTCAGTGCAATACTTTAGTGCTTTAATGCACATAGAATGTGTGCAAGTGTCAAATTATTTTAGAGTAATGATATCTTGCCGAATGTATACAAAGGATAGTCAATTTATGCGAAGACGGAACTTTACTACAGGCTAGATATCTAAAAAGAAAACTGAAGAATTAACTATAATGTTTTAGATGTAGCTAACTGAGACTATTCACCAGACGAAGTTGTGTTCCAATAGTGTAGATTACTTATAAAGTACTTGTGGTTTTGTCCTTGTCAAACATCGTATACTCACTGCACAAATCGAGATTCATTCATAAATTCAATTACACTTGAATGTATCGTATTGCCGATTTATCAGAAGGGAAAGGCATTACACAAACATCCCTTTAAGAGCATTCATCATCGAATAGACATATTTCACACGTTTTATTTATTTGCAAATATTTTCGAAAAATTATATTCGAAATAAATATATTTTTATGTTAGATAAAAATCAACGAAATTTTCGAAATTCTTACAATTACTGTCGTTTATCTGTTTCTTACACGTCACATTTGTACATGGTACAAGATATGAATATGAAACATTTTATTTATCGAATATCAGCATGTTGTTGCTTCCACGAGCGCGGAAGAAATTACATATTTTCCTATATACGGGGTGTTATCGCTTACTTGTTAGTACGTGTGTATGGTTACATAAATATAACGATAAAGCGACGTTTGAATGAACAAGGCGTAGCGAAATATCTATGCATTGTTAAAGAAAATTGTATCATTGTTGTATCATAATATATCGAATAAATATTTCAACCGTATGCGATACTGAAAACAAAATATTGTTCCTTTTGAACTCCCTTTAAAATTTATCTCGAAATCAACGATCAATCAATTCTATCTTTCTTTAGAGTAAAATATACGTGAAAATGATAAATTTTAGGACTGATGACGGCGAGAATAGTCGCGCCTTGGCCATTCCCCGTGATGGTGACGAGTTTTATGTCTAGGTACTTCGCTAACTTCGATGGACGTCACTTTTACATCTTTATCCTCTGTTGTTTTTTTCATTTCATCCTGAATCAGATTATCTCCGTAATTCCTGGGCATAAGTTCGCTAGTTTCCTTCGTTTCAGGCAAGTTTCGAACCTTATTCTCCGTAGTTATTTCCGGTTTCCTGGAAAAAATGTAATTGATCACCTGAGGTCGCGGTGCAAAGATGTTCTCCGTTGGATAAGCATTTGTAATCGATCTCGAATCCGATGGATTCGTTAATGGCACATTTATCTGACTCGTTCTCACTGCCTGTATCACTTTCTGTTCTCGCGTCGGTTGATCCTCGTATCGAATCGATTTCAGCGATCCCAAAGAATCTCTGTCAGCAAGATCACGAGCGGCCAATCTTCTGATCGAATCTCTTTGATCTTCGGTTGATTCGATGCGACTGGGCAAGGCTAAAGGTTCTTCTCGAATTTCTTCGTACAGATCTCTTCTCAAGTCACGTTGTTCCTTCAAAGAATCTGGCAAGTTCGGCACGAGGCCGTCAGGCACGACGATTCGACGACGAAACACGAGATCTTGGTATTTGGCGCGATCCAAATAATCCTCAAGAGTGTTCCAGTTTTCCAAATCCCGGGAAATCGCTCTTCTAGCCAGCTTCGAGATTTCTTTTACGTCCAGAGGTTGCGTGTTCGTTTCAAGAAAGAAACGATCGTCGTTTTGGAGGATGGTGTTGGCTCTGTTTTCATAATTATCCACTTGAATATTGTTTGCCGGATACGTGAGACGTTCAGAAGGTACTTGATAGGTTTTCTCCAAAACGGCTCCTTGATCGAAATAACGTTTTTGTTGATAGTTGCTGCGAGGTTCCTCGTTGGTGTCTGGATAATAGGCTTCGTAGAAGACCGGACCTTTTTCGAGATCGTAGCTCTCGTAGCTTGGAGCAAAATATGCAGTTAACAAAAATGACTTCGATTAAACTTTGATCAAACATTCTGAGGAACGCTTTTATCGAGCAAGAAAGATATAATCGAGTTTAGAAGAAAAGCTGACTTTATTTTTTAATAATACGCGCTAATTGAAAAATTGAAAGAAAAGTTCAATTACTCACCGGTGAATATCGGGGTTCCACGTGAAGATCGGCGATACACCTGACGGAAAAGAAAACGTAATTAGTTCGTGGTAATTGTATCGTGAATTTTTGAAAATCGAAATAATAAAAGCAGCCAGCGGCAAAGGAAAAGTTGAGAACGTTGGTTGATCTAATCGTCATTGTTGCCTTTTTAAACGAGTTCCTTAAACGAATTCTTCGAACCAGGCTCTCTGTTTTCCGACAAAATAAATTTCTCCAGGTTCTGGACTCGTTTAAGCGCGGTGATGAAAACGTTCCGAAACTGTTATTAAACGCGTAATTAAAATAAACTTCATTAGAAATTTACAAATCCGAAATGTACTGTGCGCGCGTTCGTTGTTTCTGTAAAAGCTCTTCTTCGTCCGTTCCCTTTTTGTATTCGTGCGTAACTTTAATGAATTTCGTACGGTGCCAAACACAAAATGGCATCATCGCCTATCGCTTACACGATTTGTTCGCGATTCAACGTTTTTCACCGCTAATCACTTTTTGACAAATATCGCCAATTCTTTTATTACTCTTTATTATTAATTTTTTCTTTATTATTAATTTCGACTATATCTGACTATATATATTTTTCGAGAAGCTTTCTTTGCTTATCGGCGTTCATTCTAAAATGGTAAGAGTGAGAAGAAGAAAAGGCGAAAATGAAAAAGATACATACCGATGGAAATCGTTATCACTGTAATTGAAAGTAGACTCCGTTTTAGAGCCATGATCCTATTGCGAGGCAACGACAAGCAACTGAGTCTCTACGATGGGACGTGTGCGCGTATTTTCAGATATGCCTAAAATAAACCACCATTTCCTTCGGGTCTCGCTGACTAATTCACGTATACAGAGGGATAGAGATGACTGGAAATCTTGAAAGACTGTGATCTACTGCTCCCGTGTCTCCATAACATCGCGCATGAAATATTAGCTTGTTGACTCGGAATTTTTTCGATGATTCCGCCAGAATCGGTCATTCGAATACCACCGACGTGATGCGACGCAACGGCGAGAAGTGTCGTAATTTGCTCGTGTAATTCGTTGATTCTTCAAGTTTGGTATCTTGTAAACGATGTAAGACAACCTTCCCCTGTAGTAATTGATATTATACTGATATTAAATTAAGTTCCAGATATAACAATGGTAACTTGAATCGTAAAAATTTGGTAGCGGCTTTGGTACAATTTTAGCTAAATGATATTCGCTGCGATATTTAAAGGTTCAAATAAATTTCTAAACATACGAACCTGCTTAAAGCTCGATATAATCGATCTATATAACGCGATGTTTAATTTCTATAATTGCGACGAAGGATGAAAAGAACAAGAGGCATTAGTTCCAACGAGTGAAAGTATCGTTGAATTTTTTATTATTGTTCCCAGTTGTTTCATCTTTACCAGTTCAATTTCGTTTTGCTATTTTCTACGATAAAACTTGTTATTTCGCCAATTTTTTGGAACACGCGTGCTATTATAACGCGTGCCGTTTATAAAACAGAAGTGACGTTTAATTATCGCGTGAAAAACGTAATATAACGAGCAACGGCGCTGGTGCGACACAAAAAATTGTTTAAATTGATTGTTCAACGGGGTTGCGTGAGATCTGCCAAATTGGTCGTACTTTCGAGGTCGTACGATATCTACGATATCTCATATCGTATCGTTCTGCAATTTCTAGATTGATCATATAGGTCCATTCGATGGTTTTCATGGCAAAAGAAACGAATTGCTCCAGTGGAAAATTTTCAATGGGAACATCCGTTTACCTATTTTTATCTGAATTGCCATTTTAATTAATGCTACGCAAATTGTTACAAAATTCTCTCATTATCCTCTTATTCCTTTCAACTACAAGTAAATCAAACTAAACAATATGTTCAATTTAAAGTATAAACGAGGCACGTCATGTGGTTATTCAGGTGAGTAGCGTGAAAATTATTTAATAATAGAACTTTTTCTTCATTTTTTTCTACCATAATTCGAATCATCCATTTTCGTTAAAAAAAGATGACGATGGATAACCCTGTGATGAAGAAACCGATCTTCAAGCCGTGTTCAACCGAAACACCGCGATAGTTTGCTTCTCGTCGATATTTTAAAAGTTCATCTTCATCCTCAAGATGCTATCTAATACAGGGTGTGTCCTCCATAACGTTGCAAGGTCTGGGTGATTGAATCCACCGATCATGATATTGATCATTGCGCGATGAAACAAATTGCCCGATAGAAGGCGAGCTACATGGAACTTGGCTGAAATGTAGAAAACGTAGACGATAATTCGGGAAACTTTAATTTTAAGAATACGAGTCACGGTGAACATATAAAAAGAGTATACCTGGATGTTGTAAGACGCGGTGCAGCATACGAGCTCCAGTTTTCGTTTCCAAAGATTCGTTTACCAAAGGAAGATATTCTAATAACGTTGGAAATACGTACCATGTTCTTTTGTAATCTTTTTAATATTGGATTCAAGCTCACGATCATCACCGCAACCAAATAAGTCCACTGTATCGTATAAAAGAAATTCTATTGGCAATCCAGACGAGTCTCAATCCAGTTCTGTTAATAAATCGTTAATTTCGCTATAGAACATATCTGTTATCAAACACTCGTATAGGATGCCATCGAACATTCTCATTAGCGTTATATCACGGTAAAGTATGTCTGGCGAAAGGTATCTTCCAGTAGCAGTGGAAGGTAATAAAATTGGATGATCAGTTGCAATATAAAAGATACAGCGCTCCATTGATCGTCAATCTTTTCCAGATAAAGGTATATTTCTCGTGATATCGCGGAGTTTCCATCGTCTTAACGGAATTCGTCCTCTTCTAGAGCTTCTTTTTATCTATCTTCTAGATGATAAACCTGACAAAAACATTGATAAATCGCATAACGTAGTTCCAGAGTACCTGAAAGTTTTTGCCGAATCTTTTGCGTTCCTTCTTTCGTAGAATACGAGGATTCTGAGAATACGAAGCTTTGTTAAGATAATTTACCAATGCTGTTCGCTAATAGCAATTAAGAAACGAATCTCTCGAGGAAAGTAATTCCACTCGTAACAAGAAGTGACATAAATTCCACAGCCAGAAGAATCAAACTGACAAATAGGAAGAGGAGAAATTTGAAGGAAAGGCGTCTGATAACGTTTCATCAACGAGTATGACAATTTGAAGGAGGCGAAACTTGGGCCAAGGTACTTACACGTAGTTCCATGTCAAAACTCTACCATATACGACAGCATCCTGCACAGCCACACAGACGAGTTGTAGAAGATGTAGAACATTCTCAGATCCTTTGGTACGTTGGTTGCTTTGGGAGCGATCGCGCAAACCCGGTCGAAGTCTGTCCTATTGGTAAACTATGTTGCTCATGTTGTCTACATACTTTTAGACGAAGAACGAGGCAACCACCCTGCGGTTCGCCACGTCACCCGAAACGGCGGAAAATGTGGTAGAAATTCCTTGATGGAAAAATCAATCGTTGCATCGCGTTAATCGAGTAATTTATAAAGATAATTTTTTTTAACGTTGAATTAAGGCGATCAAGGGTACCGTGAATTAACAATAAGAATTTTTCAAGCCAACGATAACAACTTTTTCTATGAAAAAAAAAATGTAGAATCCTTCTTTGTCTTACTAACGCTCGAAATATTCAAAGATGTAGGAAAAAATATGTAATTCCAAGATGCAATAAAAAGACAGTCTCGAAGATAATTGACAACTTATTGAATTTTAGAAGATTTGCCCTACGAGCGAAGAAAATCGTGACTTAATACGCTTTTCTCTTGTGGTTTTCGTTTGCGACGATTACCTACAGTTTCGCTGAACGTGTCGTTCTCCATCCGATGGCCGTGTCTGCCGTTCGTATTCGGTTCGATCACGTTCACCGTGAAGTTCAGTTTTTTCGCCAGTACCCCCAGGAGAATTCCGCCCAGGCTTCCATATTCTCTGGAGTAAACGTAGGTCGAATCTGGATTTATTCTGTTCTGAAATTTCAGCCCCTCTTGTTCCTGATCGAAAATGCTCACGTTGAATCGGTACCTATTGAAATTGACGGCGCGTCGATACGTCAGCGTCGACAACGAACACAGCATCCATCTTTTTCACGTCCCATCCACGCTTTCCAATTGTCTCCATGCTGAAATCGGCGTATCTATTAAAATGCTAAACGATTATAGGACACCACGTGCGGCCTGCGCTGCATCTGTTATTCAAATGACGATGAATTAAACATAAATGGTATGCGTTTCATCTCTACTGGATTACATCAGACCGGCTTTTTAACTATATTTCAAATTATGCTTTTTATTTTATACGAAAATAGTTCGTCGTTAGGAAAAAAAAATCCTTGCAATCGGTTACGTTCGCTCAAAGCTTTGACCGATCGTACATGTACTTTTCCTTTGCGCCCTACTCTTGACATTTGAAACTCGATCGCATGAAATTTCCATATAGGTACATTTCACGTTTTATTACTTTCTTCCAATTAATCGGTTTTCAGTGATATTTCGGTATTCCGGATATTATATGTTTGCCTGCCTTCGTGAATGAATTGTACAAATTTTAATGAAAATCCTCGTGACTAGAGAGTGGTTGGACGCAAAGTGCATCCCGAATTTGATACACCGCAGTTTCCTCTAGATGTTCTATCGATCGGTGATATCCTATCGTCCAATTCCGTCAGCAGATCGTAGCTAACACGATGAAACGTTGTTCGCTGTTTCACTGAAACAACGTGTAAGAATTCAACAGCACCTTGAACGAACCTTTATCTCTCGCGAAGACGACGTTCGACTGTCCACATATCGACGTAGTATTCGCCGTTCTTGTGCCATTATCCGCTTACGTTCCACTCATAGCGAAGAAGATTCATCATGAATACTAATCTCCGCGTCACTTTTCCTCGAACATCTGGTGTCTCCATTCTCGCGCGTTGATTCGCCCGTTGTTCCGTTCTATGTCGAAGTTTATTGCGTTTGCATCATGATCGTTGCTAGAAATTCGATACGTGTATAACAACCGCGTTGCAGTATTCCGCCGTTGCTGTCGCCGGAAGGAGAACGTCGAAGTTCCGCAAAGTTCTTGCACTGTTTATGAAAATTCCGTGAAACACGGTTTTCCGTAAAGTACACACACAATCTCGTTCCAAACGAGATTAGTCTCGACGTCTCGATAGTCTCACGAAACTACGTTCCCTGCAAACTGTATCGAAGCCTGACAATTAGATATTGGTATTTGCAAACCAGCTATCACTATTTTCAGAATCGTCTGGAACGTAGATTAGAATTTTAGATAGGATTACACGGTTCTATAGCAAAATATTCTTCCGTTCAAATTACCCTATACATTATCATAGTTCCAGGAACGACGACAACTCGACAATCCTCGATACTTAAATTAAATTTCTGTCGCTTCGATCGACCCATTCGATAGATCATTGTCATCTTTCACGGATGATCGCGTACGCCTAAATAAATTTCTTTCACACGCAAACTGTTGAGCAGCGTCGACGAATTTCTAAACAAGTAAATTCTCCAATTCCTTTTAATAACGACGATAAACGTTCGTTGGAGCGACGTGCCCGTCAGACTGCAAATATCCCTAAGCGCTTTTCCGTCAAATGCAAATAACCAACGCGCGACGCAGAAGCGTCAACGCTACAGAAATAGGCAATTACGTTCTGTTTACTGGGATCCTTATTTATCCGACGTCTTTCGAGACAATTCAGCCTCGTCGCGTTCGATCAAAAACTTATTGGCTGATTGAACACCTTCCGATGTTGTTGACTCTCTACCTTCGATCATCCTTGTTCGAGTTTCCAACGACTATCTGTGCGATCGCATCTCCGACTCGAATCATGTCGAGGAAAAGAGAAAAGGGGAAAGACGGAGCGAAACGGCACGAGTGTCGAAATTTACGCATACATACATATCTCGAATATTATCTGGCCAATATATTGGAAGCTTGGCTGTTGGTGAAAATTTAATGAAGCAATTTAACGATGACACGGTGACCGATGGTTTAGATTAAACGGAAACATACGCGATAGTGGCCGTGTCGTTTGGAAAATGCCAAGCATACTCGAGCGTGACGGCAATAGAACTCTCTGAGAAAGGGTTTTGGTTGATTTATCGAGTAACATAGCGTCCGACACTTGTATAACTATTACGTACCGACGGAATAGATTTATTGGGAAACTTAAACGTCAGATCCTTTCAGGTAGAAGCTTAAGCGTTAAGGAATATTTGTGATCGACGGATTAATTGATTTCTTATTTATCTGGGACAATGCTCGATTTTTTATTTTATTATTATTTTAGTATTAATTAACACGGCATTTAATTGTGTACATCGTACGATAAACCTTGACTTTTGCTACATGAAATTCCATCGAAATACGGTCGTCTAGCGTATTAGACATCTAGCGACTCGTTACATATTAATTAACTTCTCACCAAAAATCCATAGTAAGCTTTAATTAAAGCCTGTATTCTTAGAGAGGTCGAGTAAATGGCGAAGTGTTAATTAAGTCTTAATTAATTAATCCTAAAGGACAGGAAACAAACGGAAAACGCCTGTAACAATTTGTAAAGAAAAAAAAAGAAAAAAAGAATCGTTACGTCAATTTGAGATTACACAAATTAGGAAGTCAACGTCAAGACGCTACGAAGAATTAGGGAACGAAGAAGAAAAGTACATAAAGCGAATCATCGTCGTCCGCATGGAGTAATATTCAGTTAAACGACCTGTCAAACTTTCGACGTTTGACGTGGAAGAGCCACATTGCGATGAAAACGTTTGCTCGATTTGCTCGGGGCAAACACAGCAGGAGGAGGTAGATGCCGGAAAATGGCATGAAATATTTCGACGCGGCTAGGCTCTTCGTCGAAATTTAAGTAGCGAAAACCCGCGTTAGTCAGACACGAGGGTGATACTTGAAAGTTAAGAAAGTGAAACTCGAAGAGAAGAACGATAACGAACCTTTTTACGGTCTACCTTTATTAGATCCTCGAGGCGAAATTTTCCAGGTATTCTCGCTGATAAGAATCGTTGTTTTTATTCATTTTTCTTACGGTAGTTTCACTTCTTTCTCACTTTTCATTTTTGTGTACTCGCTTTATTTTTCATTCTGTTGTTTTTCTACTTTTTTGCCTCCTTTCGGAAAGACGAATCGCCGTTCGTATACGTTCGATATCGGATAAGCGGATAAGGACAGAAAAAGGAAGAGTCTGTGTTTGCGATATCGAATGGTTACTTTGTACCCGCGATCTTTTCGCTTCGTATTGTTCGTATCTATACGACCGGCCACTCTTTTTTCCCCCTCGTGTTTTTCACTTTCAGTCAAATTAATTGTGTTTGCACGTAAAGAAGTTGATCGGACGGATAGGAAAATGGGGAACAATCGTGCAGTAACTCTTGGTTTTAATATCGGATTTGCGATAATATCGGAGTGCGATATGTTCTGTACTTGGAATCTTATATTACCAGTTTTAGAACGGTGCTTCATTTATCCTTCTTAGTTAGAGATTTTAGAAGAAATCTTAACTTTGATCGCCAATATAGTTACTAGAAAATTGACTCGATACTAAATTATAGCATGTTTCAAAGATTTTGTTACACGGCTTATTTTGATACACGTTACGCGAGGCGCTTAACATTAGCAAATTGTTCCTTAATTCATGAACGGTGACATATGTATAATATATGTTAAAGTCTATTGGCTATTTTGCTCTACTTATCCACTTTAAAATACATTATTCAACTTTTTCAGAAACTTTCGAAGAAGCTGAAGCTAATAATTCTTTTCTTCGGACTAACTCGCGACAAATTCGTTTTCCAACCATTTTATTTCTTCTAAACACTAGGTTCTGCTATCGTTATCTGCGAGAACTCGCGTGAAAAAGATCGATGATAGATCACAGTTCGTTTCACCACCTTTTCGTATCGTCAACTTCGCAGAAAAATGAGAAATAACTGTCACTGGTCCGTCAGACTGGCCGCGTTATTGATTTACTTACGCATGGAACAGGATGATTTACGACAGTGCTTTAGGTCGCTGCTCGGATATTCCTTTCCGAGGACGCTATCGATCCGAACGATTAGCACAATGTTTCTACTCCTCAAGCCTGATCGTTATTCTCGTAACTTTTACATCTTTTCGATTGCAATCTCGCGAACAGCCTCCTATTTTTGTAGATTTCTATCAAACTGGTGCATGAATATTTACATATATGTGGTATTAAAATTCCCATAACAGTTCCCTGTTCTAGCTTAAAACCGCTCGCATCTGCATGTGCATAGATAATATTCTTCTGTCTTCGACGTTATCGTGCGCTAGCTTTCACGCGAGTGTTCTCTTCTTCTCGAGATAATCAACTATTCCTATCTGTGGTATTAATAGTAAATAAATGGTTTTTTCTAGCGAACAAGAGATTATTAAGATGGAATTTTAAAAGCCGCAGAACTACGTAGTGTCGTTTAACCTGAATAATTAAAAATAGTCAAGGAGATTATAAAGCTGTTGTGCAGCTAATGCCATTTTCCTTTTATAACAAACTTTCTACGATATTCCACGAAGAGGAAGGAAACGATAAGTCTCCGGTGTAGCGTTAGTTAAAATAATAATAAATACGATATAAAATACGATAGAGACGAAGAGAAATGTTATATTCAACGTATCTGATCCCTCTCGGTGTTTTGCTTTTATTAAAATCCTCCACTTCGGCGGAACACTCTCGGAACCACGATAAATTCTACTCGTCGATCGAGAGCAAGCCCTTATCTAGCCAGGAGACTGACAACCTGAGGCTGGTGTTGAATTTCATTCGCCAATCCCCTGAGTTTCATCCGCTCACGTTCTCCGTAATACTGCCGGAGTTTCAATCGAGCTTCATCGAATTTTTGCTGAGCTATATCGGGCAGAATTCGATCGAGGCCTACAAAGTCAGGGCGAGGGATCTGTCCCTGAAGGCCACTTGGATAAGCCGGCTACGACTCACTTGGATCTTCGTCGTTCAAGACTTGTCCAGTTTTAACATCTTCGTTTATTGGCAATGGAATCTGTGGAAAGCCGGAAACCAGTATTTGATTATCTTCACTGGAAAAGTAGTCACCACGCTCTGGACGGAGGCTTTCACAAACTTGTGGAGAAAGTACGACGTTCATCGAATCGTCGTTGTCGACGATGATTTTCGATGTCTGACCAGGTACATGCCGCTCGAGAAACGATCTAACAATGACTTTGGCAGGGTATACAAATCATGTTTGAAGAAAAATCATCTTACCAGGCGATCCAGCGAGTACGATCTTCTTCAAAATCCGCCAAAAGGTAATAATTCGGGATATCCAGACGAGATTCTTCGACTGAACAGAGATACAAGGTTATTCGAGAATTTCCAAAACTTGAATCATTATCCCCTGAACGTGCTGGTGTTCGAGTCTCTGCTGATGAACGTTTCATATGATACTCGGAATAGACTGGAATTGAGCAAACCAGACGCTAACGTGGCGTTTGCTCTGGAGAAGGCGATGAGGGCAACATTTCGTATAAAAGCTATGAGGAAGGTTGATTTCATGGATGATCCATTCGCTACTTCGTTGACAGGCATCGAGACTAGAAACGTGGACATGGTTATCACCGGATTTTTCGTCAAGGTTTATAGCAAATTTCGAAAGTTTCAGTTCACCTGTGCCATGTACGAGGACAAGCTGTGCTTCGTGTCGCCCGATTCTGGTCTGGTACCCAAGGCTTACATGCCTTTCTTACCGTTTCAGAAGAGCTTATGGTTTCTGCTAATAGCATATAACATTACGGTTACGTTCCTGTGGTGGTTGGCGAGACACGTTAGCGAATCGTTGCGACGTCAATACAAATGTGCCAATCCTAGTCGACGATTAGAAATTAATCGTTCAACGAGAAAACCACAAGCACGGTATCTTTCCAAAAGTGGAATAAAAAATTATTTTCTAATCAAAGAACATCGTTCCTCTGATGTATCTAATTACAAAGAACCACCAGAAATTCCCCGATACATCAAAAGACCGATCATTTTTATCGAGCATCTTACCTATCCCTTTCAAACGAGCGAAATTCCAGCGCAGAGAGCTCTACTCCTCGGCACCCTATTTTTCGCTCTTATCCTCAATGGGCTGTATCAAAGCGTGTTGGTATCTAGCCTAAGTAAACCGTTCCATTACCCTCAACTACATAATCTAGAAGATGTAGTAGATTCTGGAAAGATCGTGATCACCAAGTATGCGAATCTGAAGAACGTGTTCCTGGACGATTCCGAACTAGACGCGATGCTGGTTCAGAGAATTCGTGTGATTAACACTCAACGATCTACGAAGGATATTGTGGCGTACGAAGATAAAATCGCCATCACCAGATATTACACGTTGGAGCTCGGAGATTCCGACTATTTGGACAAAGAAGGAAATCCCCTATTGAACTTGGTGGACGAATGTCCGATGAATTATAGAGTGTCTTACGTGTCACGATTGCATTCACCTTACGCAGAGAAAGTCGATTTTGTGTTGTTAAGGTTGAGAGAAGCGGGTCTGCTTAATTTCTGGTTCGATGATATGTTGTATCGTATTAAGATAGCTAAGATAAAGAAAAGGAGATTGAACAAGGATATGGCGGCGATGAAGAGCTGGATGAGCGGCAGGATCAGATTATCGCTGGATCATTATTTATTAACGTTCTTATTGCTGTTCGTTGGCCTGTTTGGATCTACCGTGATGTTCTTCGTGGAACTGTACATCGCGAAACGAAGCACAAGAAAATGTTAAAATAAACAAAAGGAATGCTCGTTTCAAAACTTATTTCTTTTAGGGGAAAATTCAAACCGAGAAATTGCTCGTGACCAGAAACAGAGAAAAAATATAAAATATGTATTTTGTTTGTTGGTTGTGTAACAAAAAAGTTTTACCACTATCGTGCAGTCAACACGAATTTTTCTATTTGGATTTATACCGCGTATTTTCAATGTTGACATCCCACTAACGGTTTGAGTAGACCAACAGTTTTTTCCACGATGAAACAATTTCTGACATTTTTTCTACTTGCTTCTTATTTTCCCATTTGTTTGGTTTTCCAGACGGAATACTGGTAAATTTAAGAATAGAACAGCTGGTGATCGGCCGAATCGACGATTTGTTATTTTCGCTTGAACCAATCCTTCTTCGCGTCGTTGAGACACGAGCGATCCTATCTATTATTTGTCTCCATTCATCTACTTGACATGATAAAAGGAAATATCTTTTGACCTACTTTAAACAGAAACAGATCGATAATTGTTTTTTCTATTATCTATTATAAACGAAGAAATAAGAAAACAAAAAATGTACACTCGTTGCTTTCGATCAAGCGACTTAATCAACCGAATCATTAATTATACAGGTCGCATCGTGAAGATTGATTAATAATTAAGCCGATGTACTAACGAGGTTCTATGTACATCGTTATTAATGAGAAGCAATTAAAAGTGTATGTAAATCACGGCTATAATACGTCAAATGCAATTTGATATCGTGACGTTTGGTGCATTAATTATAATAGAAGCGTTTTAGAATTATTATAAAATCACGCGAACGATGGTCGCACCTCGATGGATTTAATATTCTAAGCACGTACTTCGTTTCTTCACAGCAGATGCTCCGCTAAATGCGATTAAGTTGTACCTGTCTGTGTTACGAGAGTGTTTCTCTGATACTCTTTTTCCCGTTGTCCTCGGAAACGATTGAATCTGAATCTGTTGAAATAAATCAGCGCGATCAGAGAACGAAAATCTCGTACCCTTGCAGAAAACATAGTCTTTATGCAATTTCCTACACGACTGATTTTGCTTATTCTTTTATACTGCTCATACTGTTCGTTTCTAATTTTCATGTATACATCGATACAATAGTCTGGTGATAGTCAGTTTGTCGTTCCATAAATGAATTCGTAAAAGCTGTTAAACTGAATTATAAATAGCGCTATAGAAGATATGCATATAAATCTCCCTTCGTGGGGCATCCATTTTCCACGTTCTACTCTTCTGAACACAGCCGTCACCCACTTTGTTTTTATTTTGATTTTTTTGTTACGTGTAAAAACGTGTAAAAATACGGCTAGAATCGTTAAAAACTATACGTCGATGGAAAGTGCTGATCACAGGTTAAAATTTGTTTTTCTTTTCTGTACATTTCAGTAAATCAATATTATTGATAAACATATGCGTTTGCATTACAAAGAATATCATAAATTTTATTACACGCAGGTACATTAACGGATAATTCCGTTAGAGAATAAACATTAATTAGTTTAACGATGAAAATGGGACGAATAAAGAAACTCTTTCATTCGTTATTTGATCGGAATCGTTTTAACGTTCTACAGATGAATGGCTATATGAAATGCGACTATAATCGTAAAACGATGAAGAGGCTGTCGCGAACGACGAGATGCTGTCGATAGAATAGGGATACTTTTGTGCTATCTGACTCAATTATGTCGCAAAATCGATTGTTTTGCTTTAGAGAAGAGAAAATTAACGCTTGAACGGTGTCAAACGAATGCACGCCGCGTTATTATCACGTTCTGGTAAATTTTAGACATAATCCTTTGAGCATCACGAAATTACCGTGTGACCGCGTTTCATCGCAGATAAGATGGTTGCTAAAATTACTATTCACGAGATCGTGGCAATGTGGGCATTATGTCGAAGAAGATTGCGTGTCGTGGTTTGAAATTGTGATTGTGTTCGGCGAGTACGAAGCACGTCCCTATCTTCTGAACCTAGAATAGCGTTTTACTTTGTTGAAACAACGATTAAGAACTATATCGGGAGATTTCCTTAGCCAATATTCTGCCACGTTAAATTAGAAAATAGAAGAAAATCGGCTCGTTAAACGTTTGAACACGGACAAACAGATCAATTAACATATATGTAATTACACGAAGGTAAGAGACACTTCTTAGATATACTTCTCAGACTTCTATACATGTATATTTATCGACGTTGCAGATATTCTCGTCTTTTTGATACTTAAATTGTACATCGTTTGTTGCTACTATGTACACTCGGAAAATTCTCTTCTAGATCCATTTTTCAAAATTTCAGGAAGGTGGAACGAGTCACGGGGGAAAACGACCGAATTTAGTATATTTTTAACGATCGAGAGAATTTATTCGCAAAAGAGATACTTAGAAGGAGAGAACGTCAAAGGGAATTCTATGTAAGATAATTCTTTCGAATGACAAAAATCCTTACCAGCGATCTTCATCTTTAACAGAATATTCTATCGTATTTCTTTGTCAAAATTGATTTTTCTAACGATCGACTGCATTCGAAAGCGCATTCAATTTTAATTATTTCTCTTTAAAAGATTTGTGCAGGTTACCGAAACATCAAAGAATATACATGTAAAATGTCGATCGGAAAAATTGTATAGCTTCTTCGTAAAAAATTCCAAAAGACTCTTGAAACTCTAACGATCGGGCTGCTCGCGGTTCGCTGATCAGCATACTAAGAAGCTGAACGAAGTTAAGCGTGGTGTGGGAGTGATTAACTTAGATGCGTGTCTTATCCCTTCAAAGAGCTTACTTTTCCTTAAACTCGTTCGTTGCATAATTACGTAAAACTTAATTCTCCAGGTCCTATACTCGAACTTGCATCGTGTCGTGTCACTCACAGTTCGTTCGTGGAAATTATCCCAAGGACCTATTAGAGTAACTCTAAAGTAAGATAACTTTCAGCTTCGCAATCTGTAAGCAAAGTCCAGCGTTAAGTTCCACGAAGAGAAACCAAGATATTACGAAAGTGATACCTTTTTTTATAAAAGGTATTTTCAGGATTTTGAATAGATTATTCGCAAAATAGCATTGAGATACGAGTAGATTAAAGCCTATTCAATTGCAGATGGAACAAAGTGGTTCGTTTAATTTTTTGAAAAGTCGTCTTCATAGTAGGAAATGGATAGATAATGCCGAAAGCGTTGCGTAGCGTGGAAATTGAAGTAAAATGGGACAACCAGTGCCAGACAGTCAATGTCAATACCGATGTTCGATATAATTCTCGCTATGTTCCTTTGATCTTGTGACGAATATGGATATGACGACAAAAATTTTGTTGTCTCATGAAGCTAGAGATAAACTTCTAGTCGTGAAAATATTTCGCTATATAAAATCATGCACGAATAAACAAAAAGAAAAAAACAGAAACAATTCTGCTTCTATTCGACTCCTGCGAATTCTTTGCAACAATCCTATTGTTCAAACAATATGTAACTATCGTTGAATGAATTGTTAAAATCTATTGGACAATGGATAAGATCGAAAACGTTAAAGTATCCTTTTGCACTGCGAAAAAAAGACAAAATAATGACAAAGGTAGATGTTGATATATGTAAACCCGTCGATCGTCTTAAACGGTAAGAAATTGGCCAAAGCGTCAAGTAAACGGGAAGGATGTTGTTTCTTCTCGAAGACAAGGAAAGACAAGATGATACATCTCCTTCAGCCGGGACTCTTCGCGTTTCATTCGCACCATTTGTTTCATTCTAGCCATCGAGCAAAACAGAATGCGGGCAGGGCGGAACGATTTCCACGTCAGTTGCCGCCTTTTACTTCCAGCCAGGTACAACGATTTCGGACGCATTTCTCCGAGTGGAGGACGTGCAAATTATCGGACGTTGTTTTGCTGATACTCGTAGATAAATACGATTATGCTCATGGCCAGTCCGATGTACAGTATCCCAAACGGGATGAATAAATGCCGGATCGTGATCTTCCTATGCATCGTCGAGCCATTCAACACCAGCGTCGGCCGTTTCTGCGACTGGTGTATGCTCTGATACCACTTTCCATAGAAACCGCCGTTGTTTAACCGGGCGAGAATGCTGTTTATACGACCACCATATGGAGATCCTGGAATAACGTTCACGTTTTACAATACAGCTGGAAATTTCGATTTGTAGCTGCGAATTGTAAGCGTTCGTTTAAATTTCTAAACCGAGTTAACGACATAAATGACGAGAAAGTAGAAGATAATGGTACATAGTTGTGATAATAATGCATCGATAGAGGAAGAGAGTGAAAGATAATCGGTGGTAGGGAATGCAGAATTTATCGATTAATCCCTGATGGTGAGTGAATGAGTAAGGAAATGAGATAACTTGCAAAGGAGGTACCTGTCTGGGTTTTGCGGATATTTAAGAATTTAATATCGGTAGAGTAGTAGGTAGCGAGGAACGATAAGGATAAAAATGCGAAAGAGTAATCTCGAACTATGTTGCTCGAAACAATTAGTGGAACGATACTACGAATTCGCACATATCGAGGAGGATTACTCTTCGGACAGTGGTGAAATAAAAATGTACGGATAACTGTCCTACGATATCCGATCCGCTAATCGTTTTGAACAATTTATTTGCTATACGAACCTTTTGTAATTATATTGGCGAGAATGTATTCCTTCGGACATTCGCTGACGACGTGCAGAGTTTCCATTTCTTCGGCGCTGTATTTAAATGGCAGTGTCTCGAGTCGATGAAGATAACCAGCATCCTTCGCTTTAAATAATCTTCTATACACTTCCGATTTGTTCGCGTATTCTAATCTATCGTTTAGTTCTTTGATTATTGGCGATGCAATGTCAGTCAACGCGTCGTCGAGAATATCTCTGGTGTCGGTTAAAATCGTGAGACCTGCCAAGCATAATTCCAAGATTTACAAAGATGCGATAGCCATACCGTGTATATCATTTTTCTTCTTCAAGCATTTCGAGTTTATTACTATACAACTGGAACGTTAAGAATAATCACCTCTTTGTAAATAGATTTAAAAGAGATTAACTGAGAATCTTTTCTTCTACGTTAAAGCGTAAAACGTAATAGATTAAGGAACAAAATGAATATTCAAAAATGGAATATTACCGCTTTCTTTCAGCTGCTCCAAGGTATTGATGTTCTCGTAATACATTCTTTTACTGAAACTAGAGGCAAGCTGAGAAGTGATAAGCCCATTAAGGATCAAACTTAGAAACAAGCTGCACATCATCAACAACCTCTCAGGGAACCAAGCCTGGCCCAATTTAAAGGGCTGCATCAGTTGAAACACGACTTTTGTTAACCACGTGACAAAGGACAAACACATTTCGTTGAATCGCTTCGAGCGGCCTTTCTTCGTTTTTATCATCGATCGAACATTTGGCGTTTTCTCGACTAGGTAAATTCTGTTAGCAAAACGAGAATAATCATCGTATGCAATAAATAGTTCTAATACTCTTTCATCTCCTCCTCTTTTATATTATAATCGAGCCTGCTGAATGACGAGATCCGTAAAAAGAGAAACAGATTGACGTTCAAGTAGGGAAATTAATGTAGGATTCGTTAAAACGCTGACGCGTATTATATTTATCGGGCCAATTTTACCACTTTCTATCGTTCCGCAATGCCAGAAGAGATTTTATTAAAAACCGGGGAATTGAAATGATATCAACTTGTCTAAATCAAAGTCTTCCTTTAAATATTTTTTAAAATATAACTTTCATATTTTAAAATTACTTATTACTTATTATATGAAATATAAACGAAGAACTTGATAAAACTCGACAGTTTTTGCGACCGTTTTATATACTCACATATATCTCTTTATGATAAAAGCTCGAACCGTTTTCATCCGTACTAACTCTATCTCATATCTCTCCCTTTCGTACTTTGTGTAAACTCATATTTTATTCAAACAATGACTCGCCAATACGCAAGCGAAATATCGATGTATCCTGGCAAGCGAATACGACAATTCCTCGCAATCTCTCCTTTGCCTTTGATGAAATCTTTCGAAAGGTAGAGAACCAACAGACTGTACATTTCGTATTTTCAGCACTTACTCACCCGTGTGCTTCGCCATACGTTTGCTTCTTCGTAAATTTTGGAGCGATTTTGACCACGCCTCCGTTTCGATTCTCGAGGAAGTAAAATCCAGTCGGATATTCGCAGCAGAAAAATACTGTTCCGCCTCGTCGAATAGCTTCGAACCTTTCATTCTTGAAAATCGTATAAATCATCGAGATAACGAAATGCGTGACGAACACTAACAACCAGGCTCCTCCGGTGAAGATCTTGACGATCACAAGATAATCAGGGATTGGTGGTGCTTTAGGAACAAGCACGCATAATTTGTCGCTGGTAATCGGCGTCGTAAACTCCAGCTCCCTGGTGAAATAGTCTTTAATGAAAAAATGATTGAACGATACGTCTGCAAACTTATAGACCAAGTGTCCAATAGTCCCAAAAAATACTCCGTTCTCTTCCCAGCCGAATCTATCTTTCGATCTAATTAGAACGAACGTCACGTTCATCATTTTACAAACTTCTTCGAGATATTTGAAGTCTAATCCAGAAAATTGGCCGTTCTGGAAAGATATCGTGCTCGTTTCGAAGATGGAGATTTCTAACGGGGATAATTTAAAGTCTCTTCTATCCTTGATGAAAAAATCTGATATATCGGTGGTATTTGGTCCGCTGATCAACAGAAAACCGTCCCTGTTCGATTTAACACAGTTCCAATCGCAGCTGGTGTTAACGCTATACCCAGTTTGACGAGCAGCGTAATCGAAAGGGTCGTATCGAATCACTTTGTCAGCGGCGAACAAAAGCAGCTTATAAACCCTTCTAAATCTCCAAAGCCTCTCGAACGCCCACTTGCAAAATCTCTCGTATACCGACGAATCGGAGAATTGTAGACCCTGTTCTTGAAGAATATAGAAATTTTCTGGATGCCAGAACGACATCAAATGCGGAGAACTAAGGATATCCCTGAGATGATCCACGTTCGAGAACAACAGCAACACGCAACTTTCTGTATCTATGGTCTGATAATCGCGTCTCATGTTCTTGTACTTCAAAGACATTACATGTTTTAGGCTGACTAGTTTGGTGGAGACGTTTAAGCTGACTAGAATACCACGAGGAATATCAAACGCACGATGGTACTCGTAATCATCGAATACCACGGTCAACACTTTCGTGTAACTGGTCATGGCCCACTTTTCTACAAAAGAATATAAGTTGGAATAGTTGTCCGAGTAATTCGGTTCGAACAATTCGCAAGCGACACGGAATAGGATGGTCGCGGTCAGCAACATGACGGCGAACTTCCTGCACATCTTCCGAAAGCGTTACAGGCTGCAACCAGAATCGGATTTTTCGACGACAACGCGTTAGAAGGGCTGGGATTTGCGAGATTCTTGATGTTTTCGATGTAATCGTAGTCCCGGTATACAGGATGATTCGATCGTGGTGTCTGGAAATTTATCATCACATATTTTTGTTAGGAAGTTAGATACAATTACCATTGGATATAATTATAAAAGATTTTGAAAATTTATATTTATCGACCTCTTCTTTTAATTATAAATCGTTGCCGTATACATAAAATTTGAATCAGCTTGTACATTCGATAGATTTTCAAGGTAACAAGGGATCGACAGAATCATGTCAAAAAATCCGCCGTGGCGTCGCGAAGGTCGGGCTTGACAGCAGCCAATCCAATGGTTCGAAATTCACCGAGCATCCAGTTAATTCAAGGAAGCCAGTTAATTCTCTCGACCCAATAAACTCCTTCGACGCTCGGTCGTGGATCGCAAATCAGCTTGGCGTCGAGTTAGAAACTTTATTATCTCCCTCGAAACCATTTAACGAATCCCAAAGCAAACACAGTTTCGTTCAGGATTCCCTTTAAAAATTCATCGGTTGTCAGATCGTAGTTTCTTGCCGAAAATTTCTCAGTTTGATTCTAAAATGAAACTGTCTATCGATCAATGTCGATGTACTCGTATGAGAATTAATTCGAGATAACGGCTCTCCGATTAGAGTCCAACAATTCGAATTAAATCTTCGTTTCTGTTTCGAACAGAAACTCATTTGGTATGGTTTAACGCGTTTAATTATTCGCCTCGTTATAATAACTTTACCACGTCAAATTCGACAACAGACAATTCTGTGTTTCTCGCAAGCTTCGTTGGGCGAAAGGTTGGTTTTGTGGCTTCTTTGTTGGATGGCTGATAATTGCTTGGGTCGTTTCCAATAGCAAGCCTCTTTTTCCTTTCTGCTTCGTGACGAATAGCCAATTTGTTCGGGATTAACGAGTCGGGATAAGAATTAAGAAGGACTTGTGGAAACAGAAGTCGTATTTCTCGAAGGCTGTAGGTAATGATAGGTAATTACTTTACAGTGTGTTCTATTGCCGATAAGAACGACATTTGTCGTTTCTCGTCGAGAATTTATCGGATATCATTTTAATCGTGGTTACAGTCTTAATTACGGTTGAAACAAGAGTTCTGTTTCGTAACGTATCGATGGAAATCGAGACGAAGGTGGTAACAAGAAGCGAAATACTAATAACTTGTTTAATATTTTCGTTAATCGTTATCGATAATGATGTTTAAGAGTGTTCGCGTCTTTCAGATATTTGACGTTAGTTGGAAGGTTTTACGCGAAGGAGTTAGTTGTTAGTCGAGAGTTCGCGCGAACAAAGGGATTGATGTAAAATCCTTCGAACAGCGTAGGTGGTATTATCGTAAATGCGATTACGTCATATTCTGACGAAAGAGTTATTTTGGATATTAGAAGATCAAACTTCACGGTGACTCCTGTTGTAACCTATTTTGTTGTCCCGCGTTATTTATTTCTTATATATTCGCTCTTCTGATAATAAAGGGAATATTAAGTAGGAAGAATCTATAATAAAAAAGAAAGAGAACGAAACAACCGACTAAGCGCAGTCATACAACGAAAAGACGTAAGATAGGAAAATGAAGAGCACAAAAAGAAAATACAATGCAATGCGAGTATAATAAAAGTTATAACGATGTTTAGTGGTATTATTTGCAACCGTGAATGTAATTTGATGTCTGGAATCAAAATCTTCTTGTAATAAAAAGGACAAATTGACAGATTTGTATATTTGCCTTCGACATTTGACGATTTTACTTTTATATTAAAAGGTAAAATATTCTACGTTAAACGGAGAAGAGCTATTTGAAGAAAGTTAATATGAAATTCAAAAAGCAAGGAAAGTTGGAACTCTGTTACTTCTAGAAGCGTTCTGTCCGATCGTTTCACTTCATCTTGCAACTTTATCATTTCCGTCGAGGAACGCTGCGTTCTTTTTACATTATTTGAATTAGAACGGTACATGTTTCGATGCTTTGTTAACGTCAGGATTTGTGATGTTGTAACGTTTCACTATGGTCGCAGCGAGTAAGTTTTTTGTACAAAAACTTTTGCAAACAGTCACGAACTCTTTTTTGTGCAGGGTGAACAAACGAATGGGAAAAAACGTCCAATAAAGACAGATTAGAAAACTTTCAGAGAACGCTGTTCGAACTGATGATTATTTTTTTTTTGGAATACCAGAAAAAACTATAGACGTCTGCTGAAAAAGTTATTTAGTATGAAATTTTACGAGTTTTCTTTATAGCAATTAATTTCAAGTAAACCGTTAGCTTTAGATAATCGTTAGTCTATTGATCCAATACCGTTATGATAGTTTAAGTTAATTCTAACAAGAATTAGAGAAATAAGTGTTAAAACGTTAAAGGAGAAATATTAATGCTGTGTATCGTAAAGATTATGTACCGTTGTAAGTCTGATTGATAGCTGGGAAGCATTCGAAACTGAAAGAATTAAATACATACTACTACAATATTGTTATGACGATATAAAATTGTTGTTAGCATGTTCATACAGAAACCAGCAAATTAAATGCAAATAATATTTAATTATCGTCTCCACACGTTTGAATCAATTCGAACCGGATTTCACGCGAGATACATGATTAATTGCTGCAAACATTATCATTTTTTGCTCTCTCAAAACCGATTTCATTCGAAACAGAGGCGTAACAAAATTACGATTAAAAAAAGAACAAAAATTACCAGGACGTATTTTAAATTCTAAAGTATCGATTGAAATTGCCCCATTGCCTGTTTCCATTTCCTGTTTCCACGTTCACGTCATCCAACGTTACAACCCAGAGCAATCTACTGCTTGCAAAATTCTAATCAAACGTACTTTAAATCATGGTATCTGCGATGTGCAATAATTAGCGTACGGAAACTTCATATTCTTCAAAGAGCTCTAATGAACGAATACGCGTAGCCCGGTGGTATTCATGCGTGCACGTTAATCATTATGAGACGTCGACTTCCATTAATTACACCACGTTGAGTTCTACCGATATTTATACAGAGAATCCACGCGGGGGAATAGAGGCGCGAAACTTTTCCTATCGTATTACATAGTTATATGATTACATCATAAATGTGAAGTGCTTAATAAAATGGTAGGGCGCGTTTATCGGATACGGTTTAACCGGAGATATTTCCGAGAGAGTAGCGCGTTTTAGGTTTCCAATAAACTCTGGATTAGAGTTCGTGAGCGTCGAAACGGAAACAATAAGCGAACGAATCAACAATGTTTCCTCGTCTGTGCCGCAGACGGACAGATAACACAAATCGAATGACCCCGGGGTGATTCGAATGCAAAGTAGCATCGTTCGAGCCTCTGTTAAGTTGGGGTAGCACGGAATTTAATCGAGTCCTCGGTTGTTGTCGTTTTCAAACCGAGAGCTTTTGAAAGTAAAGTAATCCCAATTTGCTAGGTCGATGTCAGGCTTGAATGATTAATCGCTCGATTCCATGAGCATACGAGGAGAGAGAAAGAGAAAGAGAGAAAGAGAGAGAGAGAGAGAAAGAGAATCGGAATTTATATAAAATAAGCAAAGGTGAATTCTTCTCGATACGATCCTTTTATGTAAGGAAAGCGGAAGATAAATAGAGTAATAATATAATTAGTACGAATTAAGATACTCCTAGCTGATCGAACGATCGTCAACATGAGCGAAACTTTGGTAGAGTAAGCTATTTGAAACCCTTTCTCTATCTCATCGTAAATAACGAGAAAGAGAGTAAGGAGAAACTTTTGTAATTCTTTTAGAAACTGCCCCGGAGCCGATCGCGCGCTAGCTGTTACATGACAGAGGGATGGAAAGTTGCGTAAGCAGGAAACGGGTGTCATTTATCGGCAACGTTATTGTGTCAGCTGCAAGGATTTTCAATATTTCCTTGGCAAGTTTACATGAGGCAACGCGAGTATTTTTTTAGTACAGAAAAATGGACAAGCAAAAGGAAAGAAGAATAAAGGAAGAAACTTACACGACTTCTCTTTCTTTGTGAAGGAGTTCTCGACTGCCACTTGTTATTTCACCTTGCCTCGTTGATTAAACGAGGAAAAATCGTGAAAAAGATCGCAGAAAAATCGGAAAAAGAGATGGAAGGAAAAGCGAAGAAAGGCTGCGATATCAAGGATAAGGTGAAATCTCTCGAGACAAACTTCGAGGCTACACTGAAACTTTCACTACGAGTTCGTGGCAACACACGTTAGAATCGAAAGCGATCTGATAAGCGGATATTACAAGGGGATCGGTATCGTGTAGATCTGTTTGCGTTCGTAGTAGACCGTCGACATTTTAAATAGGATTTAGAAGATATATTTTATGCGGTCCTTGATAACTATCTGTATCGTGTTCGTTGAACAAGGTTTTATAATTCACCACAATTGCCATGATCGTAGATATCGTGTCATTTAGGACAAACCCTTACATCATGTAAGTAAATACACACACGAAGAATCAGTTTGTTTTACGGAGAACGTGTCACGAATGCACATGTTTGTTGAGATGTGACACGTAGTTGTTAATTATTAATTGCACAAAATTACGCGTGTTTGCCTTCTCAACTTCCTGGAACTGCTCACTTTTATACACTTGTACAATTTGTTTTAATGAACTGTAATTTTGCTCGAATTTGTTATGCGTATGTAACTAAAAAAATTGAATATTTATTCGTTTCATGAAATATTTAATATTCGTTTAATGAGTCGAGACGAATTCTGAAATAAAATTCAACCCCACTTTTCAAAATCGCCCTGATATCTTTCTGATTGAAACGCCAACCATCGATCTGATCATCATTTTCTTATACTACTGCAGCAGGTATCCGAGCTATCGCTATTTAACCGGAACAGCGTTGATGCTCGAAAAGAGACAGGAGTTGAGACTGTAGGTATATTAATTTCCCTGATTGTGTGTAACTTTCAGCTGAATGCCGGGTAAAGCAAACTTGCGGTAACGCGATGCCTGGGTCGTAACTTTGATGTTTATCTTTCCGAAGAAGATCCAAGATCGGTCGATCGCAAGCGAATGGAAAATTGCGTGTTTCTGTTTGATCTTTAAAACGACGAACGCTCCAAACCTTCGCCAAAATAGCAGTTCAAAATTGTATCATTTATCATGTTTGATTTGTAACCGAATGTAGAATCTTTGGTTGGTATTTAATTAATAAACTTGTGAAAATTCTGTTGTATGTAATATACATTTCCACCAAATTATGTTTCACTTTCGTATTCTATTATAGACAATAGAGCCACTTTGATAAGATTTGAGGGATAACTTCGGTAGCTTAGGACGCTGAATTTCGAAATGCAGTTCGAGCAATTCTACAAAGTTCGACCGATGTTATTTATAGGAACAACGTTGCAAATCCCGGCACGTTTCCTCAGCGAACGGACGAATTCGAGTAAAAAGTGAAATTTCATTCAGGTGAAACTTTGAAGTGCTTTAATTTAATGAGCATGTTAAATATATTCGACAGACTACTCTTCGGAAAGGAGCAGCTGTTTCCTTCCTTCGTTGTTCGGATACAAATAGCTTTTAATTTAAATCGTTTGTTACGACTAGTTTACCAATGGATTTAGGTAGATTCATTCTCGTTTCTCGTCATAATTTCATCATGATTAAACGATCCTAGTCGACATTAATCAAAACCTTTTTCAAGGCTTCTTCTCTTTTTCTTTCCTTCTCCTTTCTTCGAGAGCGAAAGCAAATATCTTACCACATTAATTCTCTTTCCTAATGAGTTTGCCTGACACTTCTGTTTCGTGGACAGGCATAATTCAAACTTTCCTAATTCTGGGAACACGACACGTGATCTCCCATCAAAATGAAATTCCGAAATAAGTTAAGGAGATTTTGGCAAATGTTGCGCAGTTTCGTGACCGATCGGTAATTCGTCAAGGAATAATTTGTCGAAGTTCGTGGCAAGTTCTTAGCCGATTCATTGTAGGCTTTGCAAAACTTTTGAGTGTCACAAGATTAAGTGAGCTATCGGTCTGCAAGAGCCTGAAAGAATGTTTCACTGAAAATGACGAAAACATCACGAAAAACTGTGCATGCAACATTCAATAAGATCGCAATTTTATAAAGATAAATGCTCTCCGAATCTTCTTTACATTTTGTTGCAAATTTTACGGATGACTTAGTACTTTGTTGAATTAACGTATGCGACTAAAAATATAAATATGATAGACGTGACAGTACGTACCACAAGCTGCGATATATTTTCACGTTGTCTGTACGCGTGATTGTAGTTGCTATGAAAGGATTAATACCGATTGTTACAATTGACTGAATGTTGGATTTTAGAAAGCCTATAATATTTTTATTATACACCAATGGCGTGTCGATTTCTCATAATAGAGACAGTTACATGGAAAATGTAACTTCGACATAGAACGGGTAACAATACTGTTAATTTAATCCTAGCTTACTTGCATAATTCACTCGCTAACTGACATATGATAAATACGCAATCAACAAATTTTTAATCGAATTCGGGTAGAATTTCAAATTTCGAGCAGTATGTAATATTCGTTTTAATGAAGACTAACTAGTTTCCGCGTTCGATAACCCCAAATTGCCGGTAGCATACGTTGGCCAACTGAATTGCTCCATACTTCTATCTGTTACCAGTCAGCGATATTCTACAAAAATTACTCTCTTTTCGATATTCGCTGGCACACGCGTGCTTCTCGATAGGAATATTAAGAATGCAGAATGCAAATTTTTTTGGCGAGATATTTTCCGGTAGCCTGATTTTCTGGTGAAATGTTCGTAAACATACGTGTTTGCGCGAATAATTGCGATCGAACGAAATAAATAGAAAAACGTATTAGATGTACAAACATTCACGAGTTTTTCTTTCGCGAACGAACGCAGGAAAACAAGCCGAATTTTGTTGCAAAAGTTAGATTCGACAGAGCCAAGAAACAAGGAGACTACTACGCCTTTCATTTAGCTACAAGCGAAGCATTTTTCATTTAATTCGAGCGACGTTTGATCTGTTTTTTAGCGAGTCTATTTGTCCAGTTCTTTTGTTCGATCTATCGCGAGTGAAATGAGGAATATGTTTAACGAAAAAGAAGGGGGAAATAAATTGAAAGAAACGAGAAATTTATATTCGATACGGAACTTTTAAGTCAAATTTTATATAAAATAGCAGTCGCTTCGTTGTTCGTCAATTATTTATTTAGTTCTTCTGTTCGATCTATCGCGAGTGTCAAATTGAGACGAGGAATATGTTTAAAGAAACCGAAAGAGGAAATAAATTAAAACGAACGAGAAATTTGTATTCAACGCGAATCTCTCGAATCGCATACAAAATACAAGTCGCGTAGTTGTTCGTTAACAACATTTGTAACTAGTATTCAGGCTTCGAACTCGTGTGGTTTTATAAATATATCATTTCTTTCTATGCAGCATAAAAACTTGCATGGAATACTTGGAACTCCATAATGGTTTGTTAACGAATACGACCATTTGCTTAATTACATTGCGGGGGTGGATGATTTTTCGTAAACGCAAGAAAGTTAATTAATCAGGCAAATGGGTGGATCGTAATATTGTGATATGGGGTTTCCGGTAAACCTGCCGTGGAAGAATAAAACAAACGAAAATGTATGTATATTTCTATTCGTTATCATGAGCATTTCTATTATCGCGTAAACTGGATTTAATTGTAGACGCTGAATCAGTGATGCAAAATAATCCAGCGAAAATCCAGCAAAATTTTTTAATGCTCTTTAATGAAAGATGTTGAGTGCAGAGATTCACAAACTTAATTATAGCGTGTAGTTAAACGGAATGGACAAAAGGACAAAAGGGAAAATTATGCGAGATGAAAGCCTTTTGTGCTATCTAACTTCAAAAAATTAAATGTCAGTGTATAAACAGGAATTTTCTTCAGAGATTCGGAAGGGCAACGATGTCGGACCTATAAAGATAATTTTAAGAAACTCGACGAATGACTGTTTCAGATTTAATTCTATACAGGAGATGATTAATCGATCAAGATAAATAATTACGATTCCTACACGCTACGAACAAGATATGCAACGAAGAAACTATCGTATAATGAGTACAATGAAACTATATATATACAACTACCGAAGAAAGGGACGAAGATAAAGGAGAGAAAAGCGAACGAGAACTGGTCCTAAAGAATTAAATAATTCGATTGACGAGAATGAAAAATTTATCCGCTATATTACTAAGGAATATTATAACATTCTTATTGAGTTCGTAGTATTTTCATGTTTTATTAGAAGTTATTTAACCTTATATTTCTCTTGTTTCCCCTCTTTTAATCAGAGAGTCCTTTCCTTTATTCTTCAAATATTCTAATATTTTTTCTTCCTTCCGATTCCAAATTGCTCCACGCAATTTTCTCAATATTCAATTTTATTTCCTACTATTTTTCATTCACTTCGAAAATATTTACCGGACAAAACAAAATAAATATAGGATAAACTATCGAGCGAGTGTAACTATATGATAAAAAAAATTTCGCTCGGAGAAAGCCACGCTTAACGGTATATCTCTTAACTTTGTCGGACGTTTTATTTATCCCGAGCCTTGTATCCCATTTAAAAATTTCTATGCTTCATTTTCTCCTCCTTTTCTCCGCTTTACATTTCGCTTTCAATCATCTCCGCTGTTGATTAAACTGACAGTCTCGGAGGACTTTAACTAAATGCATCAAACAACAATGCTGGCTTGTTGTTGGCACAAAGGACTATCTGTCAACGAGACTGTTCATCGGATGTCTGTAATTGCAAGCGTGGATGCTGGGCGTCGTGGAGCACCATGGTTATCGCGCAGGCTCCTTCTTGGTGCGAGACAGGCCACTGAGAGGCAGAGCGAAGGATCCTCGTGAATTTTCACCAGTAACCCCGTGACCATCAAACCGTTTTCGACGTGTACCACTTGTCTGTCCTACTGCCGCTTCGTAGTTGGTAACCGAGTAACCTGTTGCCATAGCGAAATGATCTTCATATCAGAGCTATATGTCGTTAATTTCAACCTGTTTCAGTGCTGTTTAATTAAATATTAATTTAAAAACTGTCAATAGAATCGCGCTAAGAATCGCCACGAAGACTCGATATGGATTGAATTACGAGATCGAGCTTGATTAAATAAATAATAGTTAGTGCAAATATTTTTTTCATTTTTCTATTGCAATTAATCTTTTGCAATAAAAATATTTTTTTTAATAATAAAAATCGTTTATTGAGATTGCAGATTTTTTTATAGAAACATAGATGCCGATATATCCGGCTTAGTTTGTTTGTTAATTTTCCACGTTTGTAAATCACGGACTTTTCTTCTTTTTTTTTTCATTTTCGTTTCGCTATCTTCACTTCGCCATTTCTTACAACGAAGTAACCTGTTGCGTAGCAATCCGTTCTGAAGAGGAATTTACAGAGAACAATATATCGAAGAAAGGCGCGGGATCATTTCACCTGCCGCGACACTCTCGCGTCTTCTATTTAGTACTATAATACCGTGTGCTTGTGTGAAACATTGGCGACGGGACGTGATATCGGTACGCGCGAGAAAGACAAAGATACTTCGATTTATGAGAGCCAGCTTCAACAAGTGCACCTGAATTAAAATTTCAAAGCAGACGAATGAATCATAGACAAGTAAGTATGATCCATTTTTTAATTTAAGCATGTTTAATGTTTCCATTAATTTTATAATTATTCAATTGACGAATTCAATACGGACATGAAATTATTGAATTATCGTGTGTAACTATTAAGCTCTTTATACGCAATTTAACTAGACTTTAATTCAATTTTAATCTATCGCAATTTAGATAAATGGAATTAACCGAGAAAAATAAACATTATCTGTCCTTAAAATGTAGAGGTAATAATTTAAAAATAACAAAGCTAGAATCGCCACCTTGTCCGTAGAAAATAATGAGACATAACTATCTGACGGTCATCCGCTATCATTTTCTACAATCCACAAGCAGAAACATACAGCAAACAAGTAGATGGAATGCATGCGAAATTAATAAAAATATAGCCCATGCTGGTAAACGAATGAAAACCAATTTCGTTGCGCGACAATATAAGATATCGTGCGACGAAGATAATTACATCAAAACGAAGAATTAGAAAATAATATTTTGTTAACCTTATTTCTCAACGAATTCTCTCCAAATATTTCCAAATATTTAGACAATTCTGTTCCCGAATAAATTACCTTGAATTAATGGAGCAGTAAAATCAACATACGAAAAAATTCAATGAAATCGCAATTCACCGAGCTATTCAAATAACTCGTACTCATGAATAAAATACAGACTATTAAATATTTTTCTCGAAGGAATTGGAAATCAAAAGAACTTGTATAATCTTCGATGGCAATCGTTCAACGATACATTAGTGTCTACCATTGTGATTCATCATGGTCCGTTGTTTAGACAATTACGCTAATGCGAAATCTTGATAATGAGGCTACACGTTGAAAAGATTTCTTGTCAAGGTTTCTTAATTCGATTATGGATCACCTACGAAATAATGAAGTTATTAAGTCGAGAATAAAATCTCCGTTGCCAGAAATGTGTCTCTGGCCCGTGACGTTTAGGACCACAAAGAAGTAAAATAAACCATCCATTAATAATCATTAACGTCACCTCGTCTCGACACGAACCTTAGTTTTAGGACATCAAACCTGTCCTCCCTTCACACTTCTTCGTACGATCCTTCTCGAGTGTATTTACTGTTTTCCTTATTCTACAATTCCGATTAGTTCGATGGTTATCAGGTCTACTTTATTTTTTATAATTTTGTATTTTTTGATCGCATTGCATGCAACCGGATATTAGATATTTTCGGAAGTGTCAGATACAATTTTTTTTAAAGCTTTTTCATTCTACTCAACCCCTCTACATATATATAGAATTATATATTATGAATCAAATTTCATGGGTGAATGATAAATTGGACAGTGATAAATAAAAGAAAGAAATGCTCGTCGTCCATTGTGATATGTTTGTTCATAATCTCCAATAGAATGACCAACTTGGTTTTGAATATACGGTGAAGTATCCGTTTCTCTGAATTCCTCTTTTATTCCTCGAACAACTTTTATCAAGGTTGGGCAAATCTCCCCTATTTGTGAAAGGCTCAGTTTAATTAACGTGGAATATTAATTACCGTGGATAAGATAACTTTTTAAATATATGTAGATATTTGTAAACCAAGTCCAATTCCTGGCTGTGAGGCCGAATAAACATTAATAATTAATAGTAATTACCATGTCACGTGGAAATATTATCGTTTTCTTCTTTTTAGTTGCGAATTTTCCAATATCCAATCGATTTTATAACCCCGCAACTTCCACCTATCTTTTTTACGCGAAAATTGAGAAAAATATCAAAGGGTGAGGAAAATTCGGAATCAGGTATGCTAATGTAAATTTATTCGAAAAATATATCGCCACACGTGAAATTACTTTTTTCATGTTTCATACCTGTATTTTCCCAAACTTTTGGTAATGTTATGATAACAATTTTTATAATATTTGGCTCAGACACGTGTTACACGTTAAATGTAAAAAGGACAAAGAGCAAAGAAAATATTGTGTTATCCGTAGAGGACCGTGTCCCATATAAGTAGATCAAAATGTCAAAGGAGCGTCCATTTGGGCGCATTTATGATTGATTCGATGCGTAGAAGAACCTGACCGGCTTCCATCACAGATTCATTCTCGATTCATGTATTGTATATTTTACGAGAAATGTGATATTGCTTTCGAAAGGGAACCGATGAAATACCTATAGTACTTTTCGATAGTCCTACTACTGCATATCTCTTTAACAGCGAGATATATTTTCATACACACAGAGGCTTTTCTTCGATTTCAAAGAACATGTTCTATGTTTTTCATACTTCAAAATTAGATCTATAAACATTCTCACCTGAACACATTCCACATAGGTAATACCTTACGCGACGTTGGCTCTTTGTTACGTATATATATATATTTTTTTCGATATATATATGTATATTGCTCTTCTAAAAAAGTGCTATTAGAAAATTTCTGTTAGAAAGATTTCTGGTTTGCGCGAGGTCTGTCATAAAGCAAAACGTGGACTTCATTGACGAACTCGGAGCTCAAAGGTCTTATAAAGCAACTATATAAAACTTCTGTTTGCACGATGTCAATAATAATCGTAACAGCGTTTTGTTAAAAGTCTTCAATATTGACACGATACTTTCCTTCAGTAAAGATTACAGATGAAAAAATTCAAGCGATATATAGTAATTTTATCCAATATTTTCTAATAATATCCAATATTTAAGGGAAAATATTGGATCAAATTATTTTCATCAAGAAAATCGCGTTTCAAGGAACGTTAAACAACGTATTTCCTGCTATTAAAATACTGTCATCTTATCACACTGCTTTATTTAACTTCCTGAGTAATTTTGTAATGTAACGCACAAAACAGTCAACAGCAATTATTTGCAATTAGACGCAATTGTATCAACGCCACGTATATGCCAAGACTAGCGAGCACGATAACTATGCATCTTTACTTTTTCAATCGATAATCAAGTATTTGAATTACATCATCAGAATCCTCACTGACGAGTCAAGAAAATACAAATATGCTGCTTGAATCCGATCTATCCTGAGAAATAGAAATAATGAAAGGACATGAATAAGCGTGTGTCTAGGAGCGAGTAATATGTAGTTCAGCCCAATGGAGGCGTGTAAAAATACCATAAATAACGAACACGAAGAGAACAGCGAAGAATGCCGGAGAAATTATCGTGAAACGCAAATTGTATGCGCATTTTATATGTCAATGAGACGGAAACTAGCTAGCTCCGCTCCAGGTTTTCCACAGTGGATCGATAGACGTGTCGAAGCTTCTCCGCAGTGACGATGTGTCGTTGTTTCTCGTGTTCGTGATGCTTATTTCGATTTTCGTCTTTTTGCTGTTTCGACTTGCGTGATTCCTATCATCTACGATAAAAATCACGGAATGGCGGTTTGAAGACAACGTCGCTTTATCGACGTTTTGCCGATGTTTTTGTCGTCGCTTTATCGTCGTTACTCGGTCGTCCCTTTCTTGAGGGCGTCTTGGGGAAGATATTTTTCTTTGATACATCAAAGCATAGCGCGATAATGAACTGCAATTGCGGCCAACGTATTTCGGATAAATGTGTATGCGAATAAATACAGAAACTAAAATGTTGTTTTCAGAAAGAAGATATTTTAGAAGTTAGAGGGGAATGGTCGTTTCTCGTAGATATGACACTGTGACAAATGATGGATAAGAGTGGGGAACTTGAATAAAACTAGCTTCAAATCTGTGACAAAAATAGCGGGCCGTTCGTGCTATTTAAAAATCAATACTGTTAACAGATTCGTGGAACTATAATAAAAGATTCATTCGCTTGTACATAATCAAAATTTGATTCGTTTTACGTCATACTTTGTATTCAGATGCCTACGTTACAGCCCGCGATTTCTGTCCTATGTGCTAGTGTACGCGAACAGAAAGACACATCGGTATGCGTTGGCGAATATTCGCGAATATTTTGAATTACTCAGCCACGCAAATCTAAAATATTTTTAACAAACAGTGCTTTAATTAAAAGCAATTTGTGTCACAACTGCGTCATCATGAATAATTTATTTCTCACTCATGCGTGAAGAGAATAATCTCTCCTTAATGTACGATGAAATTCTTTGACATTTTCATTAGAAATTCCAAACCTTGGTATACAAACATACAAAAACCTCTCTTTTTTAACTACAGCGCTGTAACGTAACTTACTTACGTATAAATGTGAAAAAGATTTTGTATCATTTTTCCTTTTCAAAAATTCAAATCGTCTTCCCTTATAGCGTATTCAATCCTGAAGAAAAAGAAAAGATCATTTCACGACACACTCGGAGAAATCTCGCTCGTCCTCTTATATCATCAATTTTAATAAGATTCAACGAAAATAAAATTAGAAATGCTCAGTCGTTTCAATGAGAATTTTCGACAAAGACTTTTACTCGGAACTTTTAACGAACGAGAGGAAAAAGACATCAATTTCGAATAGCACTTTCCAAACGTTATCCCCTGACTCGCTTTACGGTTTCGACTGTCTGTATCTGTCTTAAATTGCAAACGTATGAACCACTGCAGAAAATTCGCGTACGGATAGTTTAACGAAGAGAACTTCAATCGTCAGCCAATGATAACTTCAATCTAAATTAAAGTAATCTTAAAAATTACAAAATATAAATTATGCAACTATCAAATAAATTAATAAGGATGACTTGAATCTGCTTTTCTTCTAAGAGACCCTGGAAATAAACATCTAAGTTAGCCTTAATTATCAAATACTAGAATAATTTTATTTCATACTTCCTCTAAGTGATATTAACAACACTTTTGCCCCTGAAACAATGCCTGTTCCCTTCGATACCTAATAAATACCTAGATTATTAACTAAACCATATCAACGATAAACTACCACATTGTTTAGATTAGACAACAGCTACGCAGAATAATCCAAGGAATAAACACAGTAAACATGTTTGAGTTTATCAAATTACACGAGAAATAGTGGTCTATAGAATATCATCAGCTCATTCAATACATCGATAACCTTATGGAGTAAGTT